CTTAATGGACAGTCTGTTGCAGACAGCTTTAGATAACTTCATCCATGTTGGCATGTCTAGGAGCTCCATTAGAACCGTCTCATCCAGCTCCAGGTTAGACAGTTCACCTTCTCCCTTCAATGTACTCAGGTTAATCTTGTCTGGAGACATGTTCTTGGTGAACCTTGAAGAGTGGTTAAAAAGGAAAATTGGTTCTTATTCTGTCACTTAGATGTCTTTAACACTGTTTTGACTTCCTTTTGATAATGCAAAATACACAGTCACGACATCAAGTCACGCCAGAGTGCAAATGTAGCAAATATGATGTGTGTGGTGATGAGCATGATAAAAATTAAAACTGAATCGGAATCTCGATCACCCTAACAGTATTCTCTTTAGAGAAATGGACAGTCTTTTCGCTTTTTGCCTATATCCATGCGCTTCCCAATTGAGCCTTCATGTTTTGATACTGGAAAATGTTTAAAATGTAGAGCCAGTGACAGCTTACACTTTAAATGACATTTCATCTAAAAATACATCTGAATCTATGTAACAATATCAATAATTTTAACATAAATAAAAACAACTGCCAAGAAAAAAAGAACCTTTACGTATGGTTAATCCATCCCAGAGCAAGTTAGAAAAAAAAAACTCTGATTCAGATAGAACTGAAAATATTTTTACAAAGTAATAATGAAACAACAAAATTGTTTATAATCATAATACCGAGTACGTTTAATTAAGGAGGAATTATTTTCTCAAGCTCTGTTCAAAGTCTTTTAATATTTACTAAACAATACATGGGAGATGTATCGTAGGGTACAAAAGTATCACCTCAAATTGCAGTATCAATGTCTTGCCATATATGGAGTTTTCTTTGCTACATTGCCAATACACAGAATGCATTCTATCACTGGGTCCGTGGGACAATTATCATTTTAACAATAGGACCAAAGTTTTTTTATCTCTTGGTTTATGATTCTGGCGACCCTATTTTTCCCTGTTTACGAAAATAAAAATAATGTGTCTGATCTCCAAACTGTCTTCTTATTCTGGAATTTTCTCAACCAAACGACTGTTTTTATAATTTATAACGCATCTTTTATAACACATCTTAATCATTAAAGTGTTTTAAGATATGCAGACTCTCACAAACATTCAAATGACCTGAATATATACGAATTTTACGGTAAAAGCTTGTTGTGAAAGCAGTCCATCACTTGTGGAGTTTCCAAAAACTTTTTCATGTGTGGAAATGCTGACCAGGGAATAGGCGATGCGCTTTACCCATATTTGTCCCAGTGCAATGTGTCTATTAAGTAATTCCAGAAGAAGGAAAACCATCAACAGTAACAGAGCCTGTTATATTGGTGATTGGTAAGAACTGTGATATGTCTGACAAATGTATTTTTGAGTGAACATTTAAATCAAATCATATAAAAGAGAAAAATATATTACTTGAGAACACGATGTCTCAAGTCTCAAAGTAATCTTGTCCTATAATTAATGTTTTATTGAAGGGTACAAGAATTTTTTTTAAAATATGAAATCTGACACATGCAATTGCTATTAAACTTCCATAAAAACAAAAGTTTTGATCTTTAATTTCATTTCATTTTTTTCAGGATAACCTCCTCTATACTTGTGGTTCTATGCTTTTCCCTGAAGGTCACAGGTTTCATGATACTGTTGTGGTGAGAGAAGGGCTCGAGTGTGCTGCTGAAATGAAGACTACTTATTATGCAGGTATATATAATAAAAATTAAAACAACAAAGACTTGATCCAGAAAGTATTATTTACACCTTGAATATATTTTACTGTTTTAATGTTTTTGACATCACTTTTAGTAGAATTAAACTTTTATGCAATATTTTCTCCTTCCAGGCATCACCACCAAATTTCAGCCAGTTTGTTTCTTTCAAGGGACATCGAGGTGGACAGTACTTCACAGACTGTGCAAGACTTGAGAAAAAAAATAAAGCATTGTTCGACATATTTATGTAAACTGCATATCAAGAGGGATTCAGGATCATTCAGCCTAACGTTAAAGTTCGAAATTCTTTGAAAGTGAACCAAAAGTGATCATGAAAAATAATAAAAGTTAAAAAATATTTTGTGTTTATAATTTTTATTTGAATAGATTTCAATGCTACTCGAAAAAAATACGTCAAGGTTCCAAATTATTTTTATTTTTCGACCACCCAATGCATATTTTTGTGGCAAAAAATTGTCAACCAAAAAAAAATATATATAAAATTTGGCCTAGAACATTCTATCTAGCTTTCACATATGAAAACATGAAATGATGAAAGTTTGTGAAGATAAGAGGTTGTAGGCAAAAACCTGTCCACTTCTTTAAGGAGAATAACCTTAACTCGTACCATCAACTTATCAAAATAAAATACATCATATTACATGTAAACTACTAAAAGGTACAAATGTTTCAAACTTTGTACTCCTAAATAATTATTAACCCTTTGATAAAAATTATAATCCCTCTACAACTGGCACCGAAACTTTGTATAGTAATCCATTTTTCTTCTGTTCGGATTATTAAATTTATTATACAGATATGTGTGATAAATAAAGAAATCACTATGTTTATTTACAATGAAATGTTCTAATATTAAAGCTGCACCTACTTGGATAAGTGGGGGAATTTGGTTTTTGGGGGGGGAAGCCATCTTCTTTCTTTCAACCAGGAAAACTTAACATAAAAATATCTCTCCTGTCTGCCCACACAGAAACATATATATATTTAATCTCTTTATTTCAATCCCGCGTTCTTAATTTCCTTTTGGGTCCTTTTGACGCCATTATTTCCTTTTGTCTCTTTCATCAACGAGAAAAAAAAGTCGTAAAGCAAAAAAAAAATAAAAATAAATACTTTTGTTAAATCTTTTAATCATTCACAATAAGAATTTACATTTAAGCTAAAAGAAAGAGGTTATAGGCAAAAATTGCTCACTTCTTTAAGGAGAAATTTTGTATATATTGATATAAAATACATCATATTACATGTAAACTATGGAGGTACGTTTCAAACTTTGTTAAACATACACCTTTGATAAAAATTAAACTTCTCTCTCTTTTTTAAATATTTATTTGCAACTTTTTTGAAAACAATTCTCTATTTTGCACATAAACAATTTCTCTGAAACATTACTGTGTAGAAAATATGTACATCAGAAATATCTGTATGATGCAGACACATGTAATATGGAATCAATTTCACTTGGATAAGTGTTTTAGAATTTGGTTTTTGATGATTGAAGCCATCTTCTTTCTTTCTACCAAGAAAACTTAACATAAAAATATCTCTCCTGTCTGCCCACACAGAAACATTACATATTTAGACCTGTCATCCGCAAACGAGTTTGTTTCGCCCGTTTCTTGACGCCATTATTTCAGTTTGTCTCTTGCATCAACGAGAAAAAAAGTATCAAAGCATTTAAAAAACCGAAAACAGATATAGTTTTGTTAAATCTTTTAATCATTCTAAATAAGAATTTACATTTAACTAAAAGAAAGATATAGACTAACGAATTGCTCCCTGAAATTTTGTATATATTGATATGAGCGGTCGTTGTCCATGGAGGGCGGATCCCACTGTTAAACATACACCTTTTCTAATGAAACTTCTCTCTCTTTTTTAAATATTTATTTGCAACTTTTTGAAAACAATTCTCAGTATTTTGCACATAAACACGTTCACTGAAACATTAGTCTTACATAAATATGTACATCAGAAATCTGTGTGGTGCAGAGACAAATGTAACATGGAATCAATTTCAGGTGGAAAAAAGGGGGGGGGGGTGTTACATCACAAATATTGAAAAGTCGAACAAAAGAAGAAGAAGAAAAGAATAGACTCCCCTCCCATTATTCTACCATATTGAAATAAATGTTTGTGCTCGGCTGTAAGTGTTAGAAACATGACTGTCTGATTGTAATTTCTGAAATTACTCTGAAATTACTGGGTGGTAGTTTTAAAATACGAAATCCAGATTAACAGGTTATAGTGTTTATCAACAGAACTGAATATTATTATGTGCATTTAAACTTTCGAAAAGCTTTGCATTAATATCACACATCAAAAGTAAATTTTACGGCACAAAGTGAGGATTGTTTTATTTTATTTATTTATGGTGGCATAGGCCTATATATCTGCCCCCTAAGTGTAAGATTAATTCAGTTTTGAGGTTCAAAATTTGGATTTTATCAATTATTATTTTGATCAAATTATCACATCTGTTTAACATTTTGTGAAAAGAAAAGAAGAATGTTGCAAAATAGATGTAAAAATACTGAATATTAGTCCAAAATTATCCTCACTCGGATTTTTTAATTAAAAGTAAGTTGTTTTTTTTTTAAATAATATATCTACAACTAAGAAAAAGAAGAAATAATGACTAACTTATTGCCATTTACAACGATTGTAGTCAAGACCTTACACAAGTTATGATCCATTGACAAAATTTGTCTTCAGACCCAGTCAAATATTCATTCCATCGACACGCCTATGCATTTTCTTTTAAATGGAAAATTGACCCGAGGTTAAGTTTAAACAGAACGTAAATTATTGTGGAGTTTTAGAAACTACATTATACAGCCGTTTTCCACCGTAACAACTGACAAAGATGATGTTTGCGCGGTCCTTGCTGTTTATTTTTGCTGGGATGATAAGATAAATATTTTACATATGTCCACAGGTGTAACTAGCTAGTCATGGCTTCCGTGGTCTGTCCTCGGGATCAGAATGAATGGGAGGAACGATCCAAACACTGCGTGGCTAACGAACAAAATTACCACTGTCTGAAGGACGAATACGGGAACTTTGTCAATGCCTGTGTCAATAAGATATGGATTCAACCAGGTAAATTACTATAGTGCACACCTTTAATGCAAGAATGCATATCTAATGTGAAACAGGGCGTGACCACTATCAAGGCTGATTGGAACAGTAAGTAAATTTGAATGCTAGATAGGTACATGTACAAAAGCTTCCGAGTAGTGAGGAAGCAATTTTTAACTGCTCACGATCACCTATATCTGCTGTCATAATGATGTTTTTTTTATCTATCGTATACATGCATGTCTATGTAGAATTGCTTGTACTCTAGACCCTCGTACGTGTTTACCAACCAGCCATAAACCACATTTTACGACACACACCCATTCTGTTCTTTCATTTCATCTCAACTAGTAAGGTGTGTTTCTGGTTGGGTTCTATTTACTTAGACATACTAGACACGTTGGTCATGCAATTTGACCAACAAGTGTACAGCTATCATAGAGTGACCTGGACCTTTGATCGTATCGGCGTACGTATATAGAGAATTAACCTTGTCTTTTGAAGTGACTACAGATGTACCTTTATAATTATTTAGGAGAGAATTCATTCATCCAAGAAACTGCATGTCCCTTGGGGGCTGCTGGGGGATATTCTCGTACCCACGTGCACCACACATGCAGCCAATAAAATGATTTTTGGCCTTTCTAGGCCATTTAGCATGCAGGGGAAGGCATATTCTCGTTAGAGAAGTGCAGGCGCGGATCCAGAAATTTTTTCCAGGGGGGTCCACCCCAGTCCATGCAAAAAAGTTTCCAACCTTGGCAGAAATTTCTTGACAACAACAACAACAACCAAAAAAACCCAAACAAACGAACAAACCAAAAAAAAAACAAAAAACAAAACACCAACCTAAACTCATTTCCCAAACATGAAAAACCTATTTCATGGGTTGGGGTGGGGGTGTCATTGACTTTTAAAATTAACTTCATACCAGAACTTTTCATACAAATTTCGCATAGATCTGTTTTCGAGGAGGAGTCCGCGTTTTCTAGGGGGGGGGGGGGTTCAAAGGTTACTTTTACTTGGTTCAGGATATACATTTAACAATTATGCAAATCCAGCTCCCTACACCCTATAGATCAGCGCATAGAAGTGGACGGACTTTCGCCTACATCCTGTTTGAACCACGATTGATTGCATGTAAAAGAATAACTAGCATAACCTTTTAAAAAATTAAATTGTAGTATAAGTGACTAAAAATGATGTTCAATTTAATATAAGAAGTTTTTTTTCTTTATTTCCTTTGTTGTTTTCAAGTTTTTAAAGATTTACATAAAGTGTTTTTTTCAGAATTCCTAGTCATCAGTGAGGAACATATATACATGTCATTGTTTGCTATAAACCTCATATTTATATGAATACATTAAAATTAGTTAATATCATTTGCTCCCCATTCCTGGGCCAGAAGCAATAATTTCATACATAATCAGGTACTATATTTTACCCCCCCCCCATATAACATGCATTTAATGCTACGTTCTATATCACATGCACACGAACAGACAAACGCACTGACATGTGTGCCAGGTTAAGATTTTGTAAATGTATATTCTGACATTGGATATTAACTTCTAAAAGCAGCATTTTTGATTCGTTTGATATTATGCAAGAGGGATTAAATAACGTTGACCGTGGGTTGTAATAAGAAACATGACAAAAGGTTTACAGGTCAAGCAACAAACGATTAATTTCTTTTAAAGACTTTAACATAACATTTGATGGGTAATTTGAAACTTGGTGAATGAGAGTCAAAGAGAGGTAACTTCTTAAATGTCTCTGTTTCATTGATGGGGGAGGGAGATAAGTTCGTACTTTACTGGGTTTTTTTTCTGTCCTACAATCGTTATTACGTAGATACAACTATGTCTTAAATTACTTTAAATATAAAGCAATTAATTCATGTACTAGCATTGTTTGTATTTATTTTGTAGGGATCTCTCTAGCTGTCTGTCTGTCTGTCTGTCCGTCCGAGTCTCACCCAGAAATGACTATCCGTTAAACATGTTAAATTACAATATATTTCTCAGTTAATTTCGCGGCCTTTTCAATGAAAACGTTAAGATCTTCATGTCTTTTTCTTTTTTTTACAGGAAGGTGTCCGGTCTTCATAAGTGAGGAACACCGACTGGAATCCGCCGCCTGCAAGTCTACCGAATACACGTGTCCTGAGATCACTTATAATTCCAACGAAGTCTTTAAATGTAATACAGTATCTCCTTGCTATTTTCTGTATTTACTAGATTGGAGTAGGCGTATAGTATGTGGATTCTGACTATTATGTTTTTCTCTCTATTACAGATCCTGCCTGCACTATGAGCTCCCAGCAGAGGTAAGTAAACAGCTGCCATTCTGAACTGTTTGAATCCTTTGAATTTATTGATTGTGTGTAAATATGCATAAATATAAAACCAAGAATTTTTTCTCCAAGTCAATAAAACAAAACATTTACATTAGGAAAAAGAGGTTTCAGAAACATTACAGATATACTTAGACAACTTACAGAAGCAAAACATCCTATATTATTTATATACAAGGGTATTATTGTGCCGCGTAACATTAACATCGTACAAATTTTACCTCCCAGTAAACGGAATGGGGACACAATAACATGCATTCTGCAGTGAAATATATTGAGTGGATGCTTTCACACTTGTGTGCATGACTGTTTATTATTGATTGATACAAGTAAAAGTTAAACAGCATTGAGGGAAACTGAAGGTAAGGAATTATATACGTGTCCTCAATCAAATCATATTCTATCATGCATTTATTGGTGGTATCTAGTTGTATTAATGTACAAATGAGCCAAAAAAATGCTGCTTTGCATTTTGATGATCGGGATAAGCTATCAAGAAAGATCTCTCCCCATTTTTATTCATGTCATTTGCTGTGTTATCCAAAGTTATGAGAGGATGGAACATATAGCATGTAAAATATCAAGGTTTTATCAATGAAGTACAGAATTGTTTTGTAAAATAATCATTACGATTACCTTCATTTTATCAGCTACTACTGATTTATTCAAAGGGTAAGTACAGATGTATTGTAAACTTGTATCGTTGTAGAATAACACCCATTTCATTTTCCCTCATAATGAACAACCAGTCCACGACGGCGGCGCCCACTGCGCAAGAGGAGCCCACTTCCTGTGGCCCGGCGTGTATGGGCATTGCCGTAGCGGTGCCCATTGTGGTTATCTTACTAATAGTAGCTGTGGTGGTCTTTGTTATATGGAGGAGGAGGTCAGGATCCAGAGGCGGCAAAAGTAAGCTACAACTAAATAACCGCCTCATAAAAATAAAAATTGGGCCATCCACCTTAAAACTTCATGATTTTTGAATCAAGGTTTAGAGTTAAGGTGGTGTGAAACACCAGAAAAAATTTCTCCTACATATTTATTTACCTAAAATAGTAGGATATTCAAATGTACCCACCTTTCATGTTGTTGATTTTTAACCAATAAAAAAACATTTCAAACGGAAGTACTAGTATGCCATATTATGGAGGTGTCCCGTACTACCTTAATTAATGACATACTATAGTATTTCCAGTGCTTTACCTTTTCATTCATCTACATTATAACATACACATTTCAAGATTTCTTAGAAATTAACTATTGAATCGGCCTTAACTATGTTTCACTTGTATACTTTTAGTATCATGGAGATGGAAACATAGCACGGATCCCAGGGGCCCATATGGGTTACTCGGTGGTTAAATACTCCAGTATATCACGTATCATATGTACTCCTATAGTGACCTAGACTCCCAGTATATCTTGCTCACTTTTAGAAACAAGAAATCTGCACGCATGCATTCAAAAACCTCATAATGATTTCTCCACTGGAATTGTGAAATTACCTGTTGAATTATATATATATGCATATATTACTGAATATTATGTTATATATTAGCTAGTCCTCTCTAGGTTCTCTTTGTACTTGCTGCAAGAGTACTGCGTCTACCGTTAACATGTATGTGTAAAAAGCAACTGTTTAGAACCTTAGGCGCCTTGTTATTCATTGACTGCAGTGGAATAAAGATTTATTTGCTCAGACACACGTACCAATATACTTTATTTCCGGTTGCTTTATTATATGTTTAAGTCATTATTGGCTCAATAACAATAATCGGTTAAGGAAATCAAGCCACTGAGACATCGTCGGCCATTTTTCTGCATGGTCAATCAATATAGTACCACATCTTTGAGTTCTATGTATCTTTTTTGCAGAGGAAAGTATCCCAAGAATGTTTCACAGGTTTAGAAAAGACAAAAAGAAGGAAGACACGCAAATCCAGCTAGGTAAGAAGAAAGGGTCAATGTTGTACTCCTGTGACACCAAGGAAGCTACAGTATTTTCATTTGGGATTATAAATCTTAATTATTTACAGAAAATGAAGAACAAGGAAAGAAGCTTCTAAACAAGAAACTAAGCAAGCCAGATATGATCAAACCAGGTAATTCATTTGAAAGTTTTACTTTTATCCTTTTGTGCAAAACATTAGACCATTTTAAAAGGTTAATGACACAGCTCAATACAGGCGGAAAACACGAGCAAACATGGAAGGAAATAATAGGAATCGGCCTTCAATTAATTCTGTTTTATGTTCTGAAAGCGTACTTTGAACATTTAAAGCTGAATACATTTTCAGATGACAAGAATCCGTTCTCAGATGATATGCTAGACGACAAAGATGAGGAAAACAGTCCCTGGATGTGCTTTCTGAAGAGTTGTAAGCACACAATGAAACTCACAGATATAAAAATAAATGAATATAAATGTGATAAAACGACTTATTAACTGCCCTAAAACACGTGCAAAAATGGTGATCTTAATTTTCCAATCCAACATGCATATCTCCTTCTCTCTCATTGATACCAGAACTGCAGTGAAATTCATCTCAAGACTAATCAGTTAATACTTAAATTACCATATATCTTTATTTGATTTTTAAATTTCAGTAAATTTAAAGGTGGATAACCTGTATAAACCTCCCACTGCTGAGAACCTGGGTTCACGGTTACGGTCCCTAGAGGTACTGTCCATTGTCGGTAAGTGGGGCAGCGGCAAGACGACTCTGGCAAAACAAGCCATTCTGGACTGTGCCCTCAACTTTATCAGCAGCACCTGTAAATTCACGACTGTACACAACATATCCGATTGGAGGAAAGGAGTGTTCGAAAATTGTACTTGTTTTGTTTACCTCCAAGATTGTATCAAAGAATGGTATGCACCAAGTCATGTAGAAGAACTAGCTAAAGGACTGACTGATTTGTTTATGAATGCTCGTGGTAAATGTTTTGTAATTCTCGCTGTAAGAGATACGGTGTGGGAGAAATATGAAAATGTTTTATCGCAGTGTGAAATTTTAAAAGGCACAAGACTACATTTTATGCAAGACAAGGAGACACTGTGTTCGAAAGACTTCAGGGAAATTTTATCTAAACAATTACAAGCTAACAATGCCAGTGTCCACATTTCCGAGAGTATCCCAATAGATGACAAATCTAAAGAAGCAGCCCTAGGTTCTACGAAAGCAGAACTTCTAGTAGCCAAAGAAAAATGCGTCATAGGTATCCCAGAATTGATGGCTTTCTCGTGCAAGAACCGACGAGTTTTAGCCAATGTCGAAAGGTTCTGTGCAGAACCTTTTAGTGTCATAAAAGACGATCTAAAACAAATGTCAGAATCACCGAAAGTTTCTGAAAAGCACAAATTCGTGGCCTTAACATACGCCATGATTCACAATGGCAGCTTCCGTCTTGACAACTTGAACCAACACCTGCTGAGGTCCATACGGACCATTTTTGCTGTGTTCAGTCCTCCTGACGATTATTTTGAAGAAGCTGTAGAAAAACTGATGGAAGATTATCTTGAATTAGGTGTAGATAAAGAAACCTACTACATCCAACACGAAATCATAAGTAGAATTATTTTTGAAATTATTGCTGAGAGCAAGATGGAGTTTTTGATCCAGAATTGCGATTCCAGACTTCTTTTGAACTGTATTAGACCCGCCACGTTCTCCTTCTCATCCATCTTCGGTAAATTAAACAAAGAGTTGGTTGTAGGAATCGAATCAAGTCAGCATCAAGCACTTTGTGAGAGGTTCAAGGAACTGGAGAAAGGAGGTGAAAGCGAGGTTCGCAATCATGTGATCATGGAAGACGCGGGATTCCAGAGACTTATGATGTCATAGGAGGTTAAAACTAATTTAGAAACATATTTTAAATAATATTTTAATGATATTTAAAATATTTTAACAACGTACTACCTGCGTATTTTAAATAGATTCATAGCTATATACGTAATTCTTTCTGTGTAAAAAAAATATGCTAAGGTTATGCCGTGATCAATACTTGTATGACATCTATGCATGTTCGGTATCCAAAGTCATAAATGTACATGATTAATCCAAATAAATGAAATAATAAATGCTGATCAATAGGCCTACTAAACGAATTAAAAGTTTCCATTTTGGGGTATAAAATGCAAAACTACTAATTAGATCTTCAGAGCTTACATGTATTAATAAAATGCTTCCGCCATTAATAATTTTTCATCAAGGGATATTTTTGATTTTGAAGAGCTCGTGCACGTTGAAATTTTAAATTTGTATAATTTGATATATCCGAACAAATAAATATATAAAAATATGTTTGGTTTTTAAATTCTTGTCACTGCAACAGTTGTTTATTAAAGCAGTACTTCTTCCAAAAGCTAGCTTTAAATCTTTTAATTTATACTAGTATTTTCACATGCATGTACTTGCAAAGAGAACTCAATGTGTCTCCCGATAAAAAATATCAAAAAACAGGGAAGCCCTACAGGAATTACAATGTCTATACGTCAACACTTTTAATTTTTTGGGCCACGTACTGTGCAACTTTTTTTTAAAATAAGATATAACACAACTTATTATCATACTTTTTCTTTCGCCTCAAGTTTGATCGCAATTTACTTCCAACATGTGCATTACATTAGTATCTGTTTAAAATAAAATGTTTTATTTTAGGATTATATCGTTTAGATTCAGTCTATTATTTCTGTCTTCCAGCCATGCACATGTGATTGAAATTTTCTATTATAAACGTACATGATAGAATGAAACAGTTACATTTCAATTTTTATTTTTACCATGTGACCAAAACTTTAAGGTTCTCGCATTTTCTTAAAAAAAAAAAGATAATCACTTATGAGAGAAGACCAAACTTAACATGCTTAATGAGAGAAGGTATTAGTTCTTGTACATTCTTCAAATGCCCTTCTGAGGCAAAGTTATTGCTAACCTACATGAACAGAACGATTGCAGTGCGAGATTCTAAACAGGTTGGGGGGAAACGTAAATTCCGCTATAATAGTGGTATCTCACTATTATAGTGAAATTACGCTTTATTTCCCGCCGTGGATACCCTCAGTTTCATCCGATACCATGCAAGGTGTTTGAACCGCAAGTCATGATGGGTATTAAAATGAACAAAAACGATCATTCTTGCATGTTTTGAATTTTAATAAATTTTCTACCGTTGCGTTTAATAATGCAAGCACTCTTTTTTTAACGGAAGTTGCATTTTTAACATAGCAACAGATGATTGTGGGGGTATTTAAGCCTGTTTGCATCTCGCTTATTCCCCATTAATGTGCACAAATTGATGCTTGTTGCGATTGTCAACTTGCACTGAAAAGGGTTTATGGAATTAAACAAGAAAAAGATTATTTCTGTCTGCATGGTTACGGGTATGGAGGCTCGTTATGGTAAACGGAAAGACACATTATGGCAAACATAAAAAAGAGTATAATGATAAACTCGATTTCTATCCTCATTACAAAAATCAATTTATAAGAAATAATCCCAAAAAAAAAAAATACTTATATAAAAACGATCCTAAAAATATATCTAATTTTTAATTTCGACTGGTTAATTGTTTATCTCAGAAAAAAGACTTAATTTATTTTGGTGTCCGGAATATGTGACAAGAGTGCCTGTAACCTTATTTTAACACATGTTCAAATAATTATGATTTAACAATCTTTTTAACTCCGCACAAATGTATCTTATTTAACTTTATGGTTATGCACTTAGGCAAGAATGATTTAACTTAAAAATCTGAGAGAAATAGCTATAGTTTTTTTCTTCTTGTTATTTGAAAATATATATCTAATTATATTCTAGGAAATGAAAGTATGTTGCAAAAAATCACACTGAACTTAAAGTATCAATTTTTCAGGCATTTAGATTTATGCCATTTATTATTGTTTAAACCACAAGGAAACTTCAAATAACAGTGGCGTAGCATCGTTTTTGGAAGTGGGGGGGGCCAGCTAGAGAATTTTTTTTTTTTACCTACCCGAAAGAGTTGACAAGCAAAAAAGAAAAAAAAACTTTTAGTACCAATTCTAATACTACATTTTCGGTACATCACTAAAAGTGGGGGGGGGGGGGGCAACCAGGGTTTCAATTAACATTTCCTATAGTATAAGTAAGGTTGGGAAAAAAAAGTGGGGGGGGGGGGGGGGGGGCCCCCCCCCCCCCCCCCCCCCGGTTGCTACGCCCCTGAATAACCAATCACTACTGCTCAATATTCAGCATAAGAAGTGTCTAAGATATCTTTGACTCAATTCATATTTTCCACAATTAAAAAATGATGTTAAGCATCAAATCAGCCGCAAACAATTAAGCATTTGATAAAGTACATCTTCCCAAGTCAAGAGTTTCTGATCCGCTCCGCTCCACATAAACCCTTGACCGAATAGGCTAAGTTTGACGGGGTTATAAATGCGTTCTCTGAATGGCCTCATGCAAGTTTGCGTGAACCAATCAAAATCATTGTTTTATTTAAACTGAAACTACATCGTAAATAGAAATACACGTCAGTTTTAGTCCCAAGAATAACGTATTTACCATTAGATATCCCAGTTAAAGGTTTGTCTCAGTTTTTTAGTTGAGTTATATTGAATTTATTACCGACTACCAATATTATCTTGAATTCTCTGTTGAATTCGTTTACTCTGATTGGCTAATAGCAGAGGTCAGGAGAGTTCAAAATATGTACTCTCACTAGATGGCGTGACAGTAAACCCCGTCAAACTTAGCCTATTCAGTCAAGGGTTTATGTGTAGCGGAGCGGAGCAGAAACTCTTGATTGGGGAAGATGGATAAAGTACTTTTACAATTTTGAAAGCATATACATGCAATGGAAGTACAAGATATTCAAATCTGAACTAGAATCTTGAGAAGCGTATATTTTCATTTTCAATCATTTTTTTTATCACTGACTTCATATGCGTCAGAACGGGAAGGGGGGGGGGGCTTAGCCCTCACCCCCACACTTTTTTTTGCAAAGATAGACATTTTCTATGTATTGAAAATTGGGATTTACCTTTTTTGTTGGTTTAGCCCCCCCCCCCCCCCCCCCCACACACACACACACACTTTCAATTTGCTTCAGGCTCCTATGGACTTTATTACATCGATGAATCCATCTGGTGAGCAAATGCACTTAGATATCTATGTACGTACTTATTTTGAAAAAATATTTATTTATATTGCTTTGAAGACAGTTTGAAATAAAAATGACCGGTTTGTTCCCGTTTTGCACACATTTAATTACAGGTAATTAAAAATGTGTGAAAAATGGGAATTTGACCAGGTGAGATGATTACTTAATTGCTATAGTCTATATTATACTTAGCTTAGTAAGTATGTGCAAATGACCGAACCACGTGCACCCGTAAAGATTGTTTTGAATATGTTACAGCTGCGAATGATACAAGGATAATTTCGTTTCCACATTTTGCACAGCGCCTTGCAGCATAGCATATTCTGCATAAACCATAGGAATTATCACGTGATCAAAATCCAGAGTTGAACAGTTTTTGATTTTTATTAACCATGCATTTTATGCACCACGTCGTCATGATGTGACCGGAAAATCATAATTTCCTTTCATATCCATATAGTACCTTATGTAAACTCTTTTTATATAGTAAAAAATTATCAAATATCTTGATGAGAAATGACAATGAAATTGAAACATTTTAACAATAATATTTTAAATTTGTTTATTAAGCATTTAAAAAAAAATTTACTTATGATTTTCTACATGACGATGTTATCACTGAAGAATTATTATACTGAACTATAACAAAAATAACTTCTCATTTCCCATGTACGCTATCTAACACAACCATGCACAAAAAGATCGGCCGCTGCGATAATAATGGTCTTTCCGTTTACCATAACGAGCCTCCATACCCGTAACCATGCAGAAATAATCTTTTTCTTGTTTAATCAAATAAACCCTTTACATGCGAGTGGACAATAGTAAGAGGCATCAATTTGTGCACATTAATGAGGAATAAGTGAGATTCAAACAGGCTTAAATACTCCGCAATCATCGGTTGCTTTGTTAAAATTGTAACTTCCGTTTAAAAAAAAGAGTGCTTGCATTATTAAGCGCAACTGTTGAAAATTTATTTAAATTCAAAACATGCAAGAATGATCGTTTTTGTTCATTTTAATACCCATCATGACTTGCGGTTCAAACACCTTGCATGGTATCGGATGAAACTGAGGGTATCCACGGCGGGAAATAAAGCGTAATTTCACTACAGTTGTTTGGCCAGTTCCGAATAAGAAACCGAGTCGGCTGAACTACAAATATACTAGACATTATTTCAAAATTTAAGTGTTTTGTTAAGGTAGTTCGATAACTTGTGGAATCAAATATTGTTTCATAAAAATTTATCCTGAGTTCAAAAAAATTTATTTCGCAAGTTACCATAGGTGTCATTTTTACCAGTTACGAATAAGCCGACGAGTTCCGGATAGCCCAGAGATTCTTATTAAATTCAACCCTAAAATAAAAAATATACGTCCCAGATGTTATCCATTGGCATGCCTAAGAAAAGTTAAATTAATTTCTTACCATTATATCATTTGTATTTCCAAAGGTTGAAGAGAAACTAGAGGTACTGTGGGCACTGAGCTCATTTTAATGATACCCCACACCTTCTTTATGATTATTTAAGGTCAGACGACACGTTCCTCAAAAATATATAATTTTTCCTAAGAATTTGTCATTGAAGTGTAGGTACTTAAACAAGTTTCCTCACAAAAAATTAGGGTACCTTACCAGGCATTTGGCCAAGATACCATAGGGTCATATTTCTTATATAACCCATATGGGTAATCTTCTAAATTGCCTATAACACTATAAACACAATTTTTGGTGTCCCTATATTTAAAAACATTTTGAAAACAATGTAGAAATCAGAAAAGAATGACAAATATGAAAAAATTTTGATATAATACCAAGAGATACAAAACATATATTTGAGGAACGTGTCGTCTGACCTTAAGACAATTTCCATGTTTTGGTCTGGGAGACCCGAAATTAGTGTCAGATCAAAAAGTAAATTAAAAGTTCATTATGTCACAATGTAATCAAGAATCTGTGAAAGTATCATTAAATCTTATTCAGTGGTATAAGAGGAATTGCGGATTAGAGTTGGATAAACCTTTCAATTACAAAGAGTAGCGGTATCTATGTTTTTCTCAGGTAGCCCAAATTATGTGCCTAATCCAAAAATAAAATAGTTTTACTTTGGCACTGTTAAACAAAGATTCTGTGAAAGACTCATTAAATTCTGTGAAGCTTCATTAAACTTCATTCAGTGGTAGAAGAGGGGTTGCAGATAAGAAATGGATATCCTAGAGCATATCAGACGGACGGATGTACAGCTAGACGCACGGACGGACATAAAGACGGGTGGATGGACAAACATTCCTTTACTATGTACCCCCTTGTTCCTGTTTTACAAGCGGGGATATAATAAATCAGGCTTACAACGAAGAAAACAACGAAGAGTGAATTTATAAAAGTGTTTAAAATGGGTATTCGGAACTGGTAAAATAAGAAGACGAAAATATTTCGATATCTTCCAGTGTTCTAAATATTTATCATTGACAAGTGGTTAGTATATGATAGAGTACATATCAAACTTACTTTTGATACCTGGAACGTGGTTTCATGTGAAAAATTTATAAATCTACAGAGGTTTTTCTTCGGACTTGCGCGTCGCGGTGATTTACGTTTGTTGCGTTGTAAAAGTATATCGACTGTTTCGAGTACGATAACGAAACCAAACCGAGGGTAAAAAATCAAAACTTCGCATAATTCAAACGCTAATAAATAAGCCTTCTTACCATAGAAACAATTTATTTTTACACCGTTGAATTTATTAATTACCAGTCCTTACATTACTAATTATTCGGAACTGGCCAAAATCCGGATCTGGCCAAACGACTGTATAATAGTGAGATACCACTATTATAGCGGAATTTACGTTTCCCCCCAACCTGCTAAAGATGAACTAATGCCACAAACTAGTACTACTAATGTCAAGGTTCTAAGCTAAATCCGATCGTCTCCAGCTCTCCCAGTTAAACTTGTACTGGTACGTGGGTCGATGTGTCCGTTTAAGGAGTTCCTGAATACGACAGTAGCGCCCCCACGGGTCGTGGATACTGATCTGTGTATGAGTCGCCCATTGAATGTTTCGGATTTTTTCTATGAGGTTGAATTCCACTAACGTCTCTAAAACTTCGAATTCACATCCTTCACAATTCATTGTCATTAAATCTAGATCAATAAGACCAACTCCTGGAAAAAACAAACAAAAATAAAGTCAAATCCTCAACATGTGAAAGAACAGTAAACGTTTATGATTGTGTTATGATTTGTCACATTAATCAGGTTGGGTGAAACGTAAATTCCGCTATAAAAGTGGTATTTCACTATTATAGTGAAATTACGCTATATTTCCTGCAGTGGATACCCTCGATTTCATCCGATACCATGCAAGGTGTTTGAACCGCAAGTCATGATGGGTTTTAAAATGAACAAAAACTGTCATATTTGCATGTTTTGAATTTTAATAAATTTTCTACCGTTGCGTTTAATAATGCGAGCACTCTTTTTTTAACGGAAGTTGCATTTTTTACATAGCAACCGATGATTGTGGGGGTATTTAAGCCTGTTTGCATCTCGCTTATTCCTCATTAATGTGCAGAAATTGATGCATGTTACAATTGTCAACTCGTACTGGGAAGGGTTTATGGGATTAAACAAGAAAAAGATTATTTTGGTCTGCATGGTTACGGGTATGGTGGCCCGCTATGGTAAACGTTAAGAGTCTACAGACTCATTTTTAGCGACCGCAGCGGCTGATCTTTTTGTGGTTGTGTTAGATAGTGCACATGAGAAATGAGAAGTTAATTTTAAATTTGTAATAGTTCAGTAAAATAATTCTTCATTGATAACATGTAGAAAGTCATAAGTGAAATATTTAAAAAATTTGCTTTACTATTTTAAAGTATTAATCGTTGTTATAATGTTTCAATTTCACTGTCACTTCTCATCAGGATATTTGACAATTTTTGACTACATAAAACAGGGGCGTAGCAATAGGGAGGCCTGCCCCCGCCCCCTCCATTTTTTTCCCAACCTTACTTATACTATAGGAAATGTTAATTTAAAGTCTGGTTGGCCCCCCACTTTTAGTGATTTACCGAAAATGTAGTTTTAGAATTGGTACTGAAAGTAGTTGTCACTGAGAAAAAGTTTAAACCATCCCCCCCCCCCAAAAAATAGGATTTTCGACTTTGGGCAACTTTATTTTTTGCTTGTCAACTTTTTCAGGTAAGTAAAAAAATTCTCTGGCTGCCCCCCCCCCCCCTTTCAAAAACGATGCTACGCGCCTGTAAAAAGGGTTTACAAAAGGAACTATATAGATATAAAAGGAAATTATGATTTACAAGATAATAATGACGTGATACATAGGGTATGGTTAATAGAAAATAAAAAAAAACTGATCAACTAGTAAACAGTGTTTTGAATATGTTACAGTTGCGAATGATACAAGGATAATTTTGTTTCCAAATTTTGCGCAGCGCCTTGCAGCATACCCTATTCTGCAGAAACCATGGACATTATCACGTGATAAAGATCCAGGGTATCTGTACGTGTATGGAAGGGAATTACCGCCAAATGTCTATGTATCTTGCTTTTATTCTTATTCTGTCTACTTCTTTATGCTTTGTTATCATTGTAATTATATGTCACTTTATTGTTTTCATATTCGTCTTTATTACATTTCACTTTGACTTTTATCCCTCTTCATTTTGTCCTTACTTCTATGATGCTTTATTCTTGTAAATTCATTTTACTTTCTTTTAAATTGATACAGTTTCTTAAATGATTATAACTATTACGAACGTTAACTCAATCACGCAAACAATGAAGCATATTCAATGAAGACGAATACAAGTTGTCCGAATTTAGTGCCGCATTATAACGCTAGGTGGCAGGGGTGTTCGCTAAGAGTGTTGGTAAAATTAGGTAAGCAAACCCGTGCCGGGGTTATTCGAGTTTTTTTTAATTTTCTGCCTTAATACTTTATTAATCAAACTTAAATTTTTAAAAGACTGATGTTTGTTATAAGTCCAGGTATGTACCCGATACATGCTATTCCCTCGGAAGTCTCGCTAGATGGTAAGATTTCCCCTGGAAGACTGACTACATAGTGATGCTTCCTTCGGAAGACTATACAGTGGGACTCTCCCCTGGGAAGTTTCAATATATAGCTAGTCTTCCGTGGGAAATCTCGCTATATATAGCAATTCGCCCCCATTCCTAGCAACCCCTCCCCCGAATAGTTTTTTTTAAATCGTAAAAAAAAGAGGTGGCTTCTCCATTTGAGTGAAAAATTCTCGAAAAGGAAATTATACAATGTACAATCACACCACCAAAGTCTCAATATAAATACTGACTTCCGGGTGGACGACCTCCTATGGGGTAAGTTTCATCGGTAGAGGGGAGGGTGGCCAAGAAACATTTTCCTAAACGCAACTTTTTACTACTGGAAAAGTTCAGCGAAAGGCTTGTTGCCCCCCCCCATCCCTTATCCCTGACACTTTTTGTTGCAGTACTAATAGTCAATTTATATATTAAAAGTCATGTACTTAGTGGCATATGAGTAAAATTTATTACTGAAAAAAGTTGACGACCCCCCCCCCCCTTCACCACCACCAAATAGAATTTTCGAGTTTTAAGATTTTTTTAGCTCTCCTGGTTGATGACAAACACGGTGCGTACTAAAGATATTTCTTTCTTTATTGAAAAGTGCTATTTTAATATAAAATATTAACGCAGAAAAAAAGACCGGGGTGTTTCTAGTATGCCTGGGTGCATGTAGTCTGGTTCCGACTTCGCCTTCCATGCGCGGATCTAGAGGGGGGTAGGACTCCCTGGAATTAACAAGGTTACTAAAACAAGGAAAAAAGTTAACCCCCTCCCACCCCCCTCCCCCCACCCCCACCCCCACGAAATAGAATTTTGACGTTTGAGCGAGTTTAGGGGTTTTTTTTTCTTCTTTTTATGCTTGTCAAGAAATTTCTGGGATTAAATTTTTTTTTACTTGGTTGCCCCCCCCCCCCCCCCCCTGGAAAAAAAATTCTGGATCCGCGCCTGCCTACCCATAACGCTCCTCACTCCTTTGCAAAGCCCTGTCCCTAGAGTCACGCACATCAGCAGTTACTCAGTACTATCTGTCGTGAAATAAAGTTCAGTTCAGTGGAAGGTTCTGAAAAACAACCCAATTTATAAGGGTTAACTAGTATCAAAATATTTAACATTTTTATAACAATTAAACTGTAATTCAAATATCCAACAAATAACTTTAGTAGAGTTATATTTTTCAGGCGAGAGAACAGTGACGTAGCATCGTTTTTGAAAGTGGGGAGGGAGGCAACAAGAGAATAGATATTCAAGCTACCCGGCTGAAAACAACTTGACAAGCGCAAAATAAACCCCAGGAAATTGTCCAAACTTGACAATACATAGGCGTCGGAACCGGGGGGGGGGGCTTAGCCCCCACTTCTTTCCAAAGATAGACTTGTATAGACATTGAACATTCCTGCGTAGGTTTAGCCCCCCCCCCCCCACACTATCCATGGACACGATGCAGTAAAGGTTTAAAATGGGGAAAGTGGTGGTATTTGGAAAAAAAACTTTGGCACTGGAGTTCGAACCTTCAACCCACCCCCACCCCACCCCTCCTCACGAAATAGGATTTTTGTGTTTGAAAAATGGACTTTTTTTTTTTGCTTGTCAGGTTTTTTTTGAAGGTCTAAAAAAAATTCTTACACTTACCCCCCCCCCCCCCCCCCAACTTTCACTTAACTTCAATGAACTTCAATTAACGCCAATGAAATCCTATTTCGGGGCGGGGTGATTAATTCTTCCAAATTCTTATCTCAATTGCAAAAAAGGAAAGATTTCAAACAATTTCTTTATTCTCAATCAAGTACTCTCGTAGTTGACATCTGAACGAAGCATATTGGACCGAATTATCTTTGAAACCAAAATGGCAGTATAAATAAGCGAAATGTTCGATGATTACAATCTCAGGGTCAGGAGGACTATTAACAACAATTATGAGGAATGTTTGGTTGTGGAAACAGCGAAAGAATATGTTAGGAACACAGGTTAGTAATATTTTGAGATTACAGTTTTAAAAACATGGAGAAATAAATCGAGAATCGAGCGCACTTTTTTGTGCGCAATAAATATACAGTTTTTTCAATGGGTGGCACTGTAGCTCTCCGGTCTATCAATTGATATATTTTTTCGGAGCAGATCTGCAGCTATATTCCTGTGTGCCAGAGAAAATGAATATGGAGTTTCCATCATTGGACCGGGAGATCGGATCCGGCCTTCAGAAGTTCGATTGATAAAGTATTAAGGCGTATTGAAGAATCTCAAATAACCCGACCCGGGTTTGCTTACCTAGTTTTACCAACACTCGTAGCGAACACCACGCCACCTAGCGTTATAATGCCGCACTAAATTTTGACGGTTTGACAACTTCCATTCGTCTTCATTGAATATGCTTCATTGTTAGCGTGATTGAATTAACATTCGTAGTAGAGATAATGCTAATAATTTATTAAAGAAACTGTTTAGTTTAAAAGAAGTAGAATGAATTTACAAGAATAAAGCAACATAGAAGTAAGGGCAAAATGAAGAGGGATAAAAGTCAAAGGGAAATGTAATAAAGACGAATATGAAAACAATAAAGTGACATATAATTACAATGATAACAAAGCATAAAGAAGTATGCAGAATAAGAATAAAAGCAAGATACATAGACTTTTGGCGGTAATTCCCTTCCATATACGTGGTTCGGTCATTTTTATTTCAGACTGTCTTCAAAGCAACATGGATAAATAATTTTTTTTTAAAATAAGTAAATAGAGATTTTAGTGCATTTGCTCATCAGATGGATTCATCGATGTAATAAAGTCAAGGATAAATAATATTAAGAATGTATTGAAAATCAAAATATACGCTTCTTTAGATTCTAGTTCAGCTTTGAATATCTTGTCCTTCCATTGCATGAATATGCTTTCAAAATTGTGAAAGTACTTTTTTACATGCTAAATTGTTTGCGGCAGATTTGATGGTTTGCATGAATTTTTAATTGTGGAAAATTTAAGTCAATGATATTTTTGACACTATAGTGATTGGTTATTTTAAGTTTCATTGTGGTTTAAACAATAACACTTTTAAATCTAGAAGTCTGAAAAATTAATACTTTTAGTGTGATTTGTTTGCGATATATTTTCATTTCATATGAATATAATTACATATATATATTTTTTTTCGAATAACAAGGAAAAAAACTATAGCTATTTCTCTCGGATTTTAAAGTTAAATCGTTCTTGCCTAAATGCAGAACCATAAAGCGTTAATAAATTATAAGTAAATTTGTGCGGAGTTAAAATGATTGTCAATTCATGTTAAAATAAGTTTACAGACACTCTTGTCAAATATCCCCGACACCAAAATAAATAGAGTCTTTTTTTCCGAAATAAACAATTAACCAGGCGAAATTAAAAATTAGATTTATTTTCTACGATCGTTTATGTAATTAATTTTTTGGATTATTTATTATTAATTGATTTTGTTAAGAGGATAGGAATCGAGTATATCAATATACTCTTTTTTATGTTTCTCTTATTGTGTCTGTCCGTTTACAATAACGAGCCTCCATACCCGTAACCATGCAGACCAAAATAATCTTTTTCTTGTTTAATCCCATAAACCCTTCCCAGTACGAGTTGACAATTGTAACAAGCATCGATTTCTGCACATTAATGGGGAATAAGCGAGATGCAAACAGGCTTAAATACCCCCACAATCATCGGTTGCTATGTAAAAAATGCAACTTCCGTTAAAAAAAGAGTGCTCGCATTATTAAACGCAACGGTAGAAAATTTATTAAAATTCAAAACATGCAAACATGACAGTTTTTGTTCATTTAAATATACCCATCATGACTTGCGCTTCAAACACCTTGCATGGTATCGGATGAAATTGAGGGTACCCAAGGCAGGAAATATAGCGCAATTTCACTATAATAGTGAAATACCACTATTATAGCGGAATTTACGTTTCCCCTCAACCTGTTAATTGTTGATCGCTATGGATGATATGCTCACCTAAGTCTGTTAAGAAGTCAATGGCATTAATAATGTATATGGGAACAGTTCCAGTCTTCTTGGAAAACTTTGTCGTTGCACATGCATTGTTACCCTGCGGTGTAACCATCACTCTTTCATTTTTAGAACCTAGCCCTACATTGTATATACTGACTTTCTCATTTCCTTGGAATTTTTCCTCCAGAATATCTGCATATGGTCTTAACGGTTCCAAAATGACATAGTGCATGTTATAGAGTTTTGAGAAGTTCCCTGCATCCCAACCCCAATTTCCTCCGACCTCTATCATGAAAGATTCTTCGTTGAGATATTTATGATGGGTCCTTCGAATATTTTGTAATTTCCCCTGGTCACCAAAGAAAAAGTCGGCGTAATTCCTATCATAATCTTGCCTACTGACAAGTAAACAGCTCCTGATATTTTTTAGCTCTCTGTGTGTCAGAACAGCGTCCCTCGGCTGTAGACTAGATTTAGCGGACTGACTGACCGTCTCGACAGAGACATCTTTCACAAGTTGACCCCTCTCTTTCAGTCTGTCTAAATGTTTTCTCACAACGGGGTTGAAGGCTTCTCCTCTGAGCGGAACTGTCAGTTTCTCTGTGATTTCCTCCTCCAAGGAATGCTCACCTATGTATTCACTGTTCGGGACTTTTGAGGCCTCTTCAATTCTTATCCTGAATAAGTCAGTATTGTACTTCTTGGTTTCCAGAACGTAGTGCTTGGGTGAGCGTTTCTTCAAATAAATAAATAGCAGGAGACAAAATGTCGTTGTTAGTCCCGTCAAGATAAAACCGCGACGAGAAATTCTCATGTTGCTAAAATTTAGTAAAAAAAAAAAGAACATTATAAGAATATGGTTCGGAGAATAAAGTTATGATTGCATTCCTGCAAATACAATATATACTTTTGTGGTATGGTGTTTCCTATGAGCCCTCTCATGGACAATAACTAATGTTAAATGCTACTCCGCCTGCAGTTTTAGTTTGAATGCAATAAACCTTGCCACAAAAAGTCATGCTCATTATTCTCTTTTTTCCTCCTTTGACTGGCTTTGAGTAGAAACCAATAGAGCTACAGACTAATTTCAAACTTTTGGGTTTTTGTTTTCCTGTCATCAGTTATATAGAATTAAAATCACAATGTTAAAAATTATATTACATTAAATATAAAATTACATTATAAATAACATTATCGAATAAAATCTGTAAACAGAGAAAAACAAACTGTTGTACGACATACCTTCAGGTTTCCGAAGACAATTATCACCCTCTTATAGGTGGATAAATCAATGGAAACATTAATTTGGATGAAATAATATTACTCAGGTACACCAAATACAAGACTTAGTAACTAAACAGTTTAAGGTTCATTAACCCTCTGCTCACTCATATAAAATGTTGCTTGAACCTTAATGATTTTCCAAAAGAAATGTATTTTATAAGTTAAATACAATCAATTATAACATAGCTTGCGGGGTAAAATTGGACAAAAAAGATACTTCAACTTGGCAAATTTATAAAGGAATTATAGACATTTATGTCATTAAGAGTTATCCCTCTTATCAGAGTATCAATGTACCTTAAGCGCTCAAACCATTCAACAACACGGTACACGAGGAACATAAACAAAAGTATAAATCATATGTATTTTTGTCCCCCGCTTTCGCGAAAGCGAGGGGACATTAAATCTCATGCGTCTGACCGTCTGTCAGTCTGTCCGTCACAAAAACTTTAACCTTGCCCATAACTTTTGATTTAGTGGAGCTACGACTTTCATATTTCACATGTGTATTCCTTGTGATAAGACCTTTCTTTGGGTACCACCAAATTTGACCTTTTGATCTTGGCCTTGGAGTTTGACCCTCTTTTACACAATAATTCCAAACTTTTACTTTGGCCAGAACTTTTGAATGGTAAAAACTAGGACTTTCATATTTCACATATACATGTGTATATTCTTTGTGAAAAGACCTTTGATTGGATACCAACAACTTTGACCTTTTGACCTTGATCTTGGAGATTTCCGTACATATGAAAAGTTGAAAACACTTTAATCTTGACAGTAACTTTTGAACAGTAAGGGCTAGGGCTTTCATACTTCATATATGTAATTCTTGTGAGAAGACCTTTCATTGGATACCAAGAACTTTGACCCTTTGACATTAACCTTGGAGTTTGACTTACTTTTCAAAAACTTTGACCTTGGCCACAACTTTTGAACAGAACAGTAGATACTAGGACTTTCATATTTCACATAATTATTCTTTGTGACAAGAATTTTTAGCTCTTCTGAGCCAAAGGCTCAAAGAGCTAATGCTATGGCCATTTGTGCGGTGCGCGTCGTGCGGTGTGCGTTAACCTTTTAGAATATGGGCCATAACTCAAGAACCCCTTGGCCAATCATTGTCAATTTTGTCACAAGGTACCCTGGCCCAAGGGCTACCATTTATTCTAAAACTAGGGGTGGGACCCTAAAACTAGGGGAGATAATCAGGAAAATAAAACCAAAAGTACTGGTTGCTAAAAAATCTCCTTCTCAAGAACCACCAGGCAGATTTTCACCAAACTTACACACAAGGGTCAGGATATGTTGAAGATTAAAAATTGTTCAATGCATAACCCTGGGGCAAAGGGTGTGGTCTCAAGGTCACTTCAAAGTTGTCCAAAATTTACTCTTAATAAAAACGTTGTTATTTTTCTTACTTTAAACACTAGGATCATCAATTCTTGTAAGTTGATGCATCTTAGGACTTCACATCATGTTAACTTAAAAGTAGGTCACCGTGACCTACTTTTTAAATTTTACAAGCTTTCATTTTCAAATTGATTTGGAGGCATATTTTGGACACTTTAAGGCCTATGATCATCAAACTTTGTCATTTGATGTATCTTGGGTCCTCAAACACCGTCAACTTAAAAGTAGGTCACCGTGACCTACTTTTTGAATTTTATGGCTATTTTTTTATAAAACATTCAATCCCAATATTTCAGACACTGAGAGGTTTAGAATCACAAAAACTTGTAGGTTGGTGCATCTTGGGGTCTTAAACATATTTATGAAAAAGGGTCACTGTGACCTACTTTTTGAGATTTTCGGACATTTGTTTTCAAATTGTTTAGATGCATATTTAGAATACTTTCAGACCTATGATCATCAAACTTTGTCAGTTGCTGCATTTTAGGTCTTCTGAAAATGTCGACCAAAAAGTAGGGGGTCACGGTGACCTACTTTTGACATTTTATGGCTATATTCAAGTATTTTAGGTATTAATTGGCTTAGAATCATCAAACTTTGTCAGTTGATGCATCTTGGGTCTTCGGAAAATGTCAGCCAAAAAGTAGGTCACGACGACCTGCTTTTGACATATATGGCTACATTTAAGTATCTTAGTTACTTATTGGCTTAGAATAATCAAACTTTGTCAGTTGAGGCAACTTGGGTTTTCGGACCAAAAAGTAGGCCACTGTCACCTGGTTTTGAATTTTATGGCTTTATTTAAGTATCCTGGGTATTTATTGGCCTAGAATTGTTAAACTTTGTCAGTTGAGGCATCTTGGGTTTTCGGAGAATGTCGACCAAAAAGTAGGTCACCATGACCTACTTTTGATTACCTCAGGTACTTATTGGCTTAGAATCATCAAACTTTGTCAGTTGATGCATCTCGGGTCTTCGGAAAATGTCAACCAAAAAGTAGGTCACGGTGACCTTCTTTTGACATTTTGTGGCTATATTTATTTATCTTAGGTACTTATTGGCTTAGAATCATCAAACTTTGTCAGTTGATGCATCTTTGGTTTTTGGAGAATGTTGACCATAAAGTAGGTCACAGTGACCTACTTTTGAATATCTCAGGTACTTATTGGCTTAGAATAATCAATCTTCGTCAATTAATGCATCTTGAGTCCTCAGAAAATTTCACATCAAAAGGTAGGTCACCGTGACCTACTGATGGTATTTTTATTGCTATACTGAAATATTTTCAGTCCTAACTGGCTAAGAATCAAACTTTGTCAGTTCATGAATCTTGGGATACTTAGAGTTAGAGGCTTCAAATAGAAGTGATAAATTGTATGATTTATCAGAAGAGCGATTCAAGGCCCTTGGGCCTCTTGTCATTTGATATCAACAACCTTGACATTTTGACCTTGACCTTGGAGATTTTTCGTACTTATAAAAAACTTTAACCTTGACCATAACTTTTGAATGGTAGGGGCTAGGGCTTTCATTGTTCACATATGTAATCCTTGTGAGAAGACTTTTCATTGGATACCAAGAACTTTAACCCTTTGACCTTGACCTTGGAGTTCAGTGATGATTTCTAAATAAATGACATATGATAGGGTGTTCATATTACACTCAATATGTCATAAAAAATGACATCTCACTCATAAAGACACCGAAAGCGGGGGACCACAATTCCTTGAATTTGCTTGTTAAAATTGTCAAAGATACATATCTACATGTAGATACATGTAAATATTTACAACTGCGTGTAAAAGGATTATAGCATTAACTAAAGTGTTCCAAAGAACGCACGCGTGTCGACTGATTTTAGCTTCTTTAAAGATTAACTAAATCTAAGAGTGGTCAGCTATTTATATGCTACCATACAGTATGTCATGCAAAAAATCTAGCATGAAGTCTTAAGTTAAATTAAATTGTCCGGGGTATTCTTTGCAAAGTAGGTCGAGGTCAAGTGAATTATAACGCTGGTATTTTTCATGTTTTATGACAATCAGTGCACATGCTAAATAGCCTACAATTACCTCTTTAATGTCAGAATTATGCTGAACACATGTATTGGCACTTTTCACTTTTTAGTAAAGTAGGTCAAAGGGCAAGGTCAAAGATCATGAGGTCGGTAACCATGGCAATTTACAAATGCCACAGTGCCAAGCAATAAATGTGCAAAATATCAAGTCCATATCCGTTACAGTTATTGGGATACAAGGTGTGACAGACGGACAGATAGACGGCTAGACAGACGGAGAGACAGACTCCGGGTAAATTGATCCCTTAGTGCCACTCAGGTCCGCAGGTGAAACAATAAAATATGTATGTTTTGAATGCCTAAAAAAAACAAAATGTGTTTGTGAAACACAGATGCCCCGGTATGGTAACATAGCGAAGGTTAAGTTTACTCAAATGCAGATCAAATATTAAGTTGGTACCTAAAGTAAGGCTTTTTCAAAAGAAATACAAATGTGAAATATAAAACCCTAGCACCACCTGTTCAAAGGTTATGACCAAGGTTAACGTTTTAAAGGTAGGACAAACTCTGGGATCAAAGTCAAAGGGTCAAGGTTGTTGGTTTCTACAAAAATGCCTTGTCTAAAAAATTACATATAGGAAGTATGAAAGCGCTGGCCCTTACCGTTCAAAAGTTATGGCCAAGGTTAAAGTATGTAAAATGTAGATAAAACTCAAAGGTCAAAGGGTCAAAGTTGTTGATATTCAATGAAAGGTCTTGTCACATGATTACATAATTATGTGAAGTATGAAAGCTCTAGCACTTACTGTTCAAAAGTTATGGCCAATGTAAAAGTTTGTAGAAAGTATGTCAAACTCCAAGGTCAAAGTCAAAGGGTCAAAATTGTTGATATCCCATGAAAGGTCTTCTCACAAGGTTTACATATCTGAAGTACGAAAGCCTAGCCCTTACCGTTTGAAAGTTATGGCCAAGGTTAAAGTTTTTTCGTTAGTCTAAAATCTCCAAGGTCAAAATTGTTGATTTCAAATGAAAGGTCTTGCCAAAAGGATTTGATATTTGAAATATGAAGTACTCAACGAAAGGTCTTTTCACAAAGAATACACATATGAAGAACAAAAGTCCTGGTATCTACTGTTTAAAAGATATGGCCAAAGTAAATGTTAAGGATTTTTGTGTAAAAGTGGGTCAAAGTCCAAGGTCAAGGTCAAAAGGTAAAATTTGGTGGTACTCAAAGAAATGTCTTGTCACAAGAAATACACATGTGAAATATGAAAGACATAGCTCCACTAAATCAAAAGTTATGGGCAAGATTAAAGTTTTTGTGGACAAACAGACAGCGAGACAGCTACCGTAGACAGCTAGACAGACAGACGGACGGACACGACAAAAACTATATATCCCCGAAACTTCGTTTACGGGGGCATAAAAACGCCAGGAGGATACTTATTCATAAGGGGAACAGAAAGTCTCAAAGATTTTTTTAAAAATAAATATACACATGTACAAAGTTTTCTTTAAAGTAATATACGCTATAACGTGCGCCATTTTAAAATACGGCTGGAAATTTATTTATTTTGTTTACCAATAAAAGTTACGAAAATACTGTAAATTACAACATTTAAATAAAATTCGTTATAAAGTTATCAAATTATAATTATTTATTATCCTGCAAGGAGAATAATGTCTATTTTTAAGTAAATCCACCACGTGACGCCGTCGCTACTTTTAGATTGATAAACAAACACGGCGTCAAGAAAACGAGGTAAGCCCTTTGAGATAGAACTCACTTTTGACATGGATGGCGTGTTACTATTAATATAACTTATCTTTAAATGTAATCAGTATCAACCATCTATACTCTCTTATGACGCATATTAACCTTTTATGAATAATCGTTGTCAAAATGCAACGTGCTTCGTTGTCTATAATTTCCTGTGGACATACGTGTCTATATTTAGACCTACTGTTTACGCACTTCCTTTATCAATATTCATGAAAAGACTGAATTCTTGATTGCAGATATTGCTTTATTGTTCTGTTATTACAACGAGTTTTAATGTTAAATTTTGTGGAAATATTGTTTTTTCATTACACTTTATGTGTTTCAAATCCTTTAATCATTTTGTTTCACATACAAATCAGCATCCATACGGCGTATATTACTTTAAGATTTTAATTTGAATTTGCTATGAGTTCGTATAGAACTACATGTAAACAATTAACATTTGGTCTACTGTAGTTACCATGTAATCCCCCATCTAATTTCTGAAAAAGCTGTAATGCATTCTAAAATGTAGTTGTATTCATCACCTTTTTTCATTGCTAAACAGTAAACATACCCCAGGTATTCTTTCATTAAGTGGGGTGACACACCATCTCCCTGTTTCTACAGGTAGATGATTTGAAGTAAAGTTTTTATACATGAGCGGATCTCCGGGGGGGGGGGGGGGGGCGTTCCGGACTTAGGCTTTAGTCCTTACCTTCAAAAGTTATGTTCAAGGTTTGTTTATAAAAAGTAAGTCAAACTCCAAGTTCAAAAGGGTCAAAGTTCTTATTATCCAATTAAAGGTATTCTCGCAAGGATTACATACCGGTATGCGAAGTATGAAAGCCCTAGCCAAAGCCAAAAGTTGTTACTGTTCAAAAATTATTGCCGAGGGAATTGTTTCTTTCAAAGTTCGTAAATCTCCAAGGTCGAATTAAAAGGTCAAAGTTGTTGGTATCCACTGAAAGGTCTTGTCACAAAGAATACATACACAAAGTATGAAAATCCTAGTACCTACCGTTCAAAAGTTATGGTAAAGTAAAAGTTTGGAATTTTTGTGTAAAAATGTGTCAAACTCCGAGGTCAAGGCAAAAGGTCAAATTTGGTGGTACCCAGAGAAAGATCTTGTCACAAGGAATACATCTGTGAAATATGAAAATCATAACACTACTAGATTAAAAGTTATGGACAAAGTTAAAGTTTTTGAGGATAAACAGACAGACGAATGGATACGACAAAAACTACTAGTACGAGGGCTGTTCAATAAATAATGTCCTGAACTGTATGACATACAATACAGATATCATATGACATTAAACTTGACTTTCTCTCATTATTGAATCTTTACTGAATTTATAACAGTTTATGTGACCACTTTTCATCACATAGTTTCATCGTGAGAAGCTGGGAAACAAGGGCTTTTCGAGACACTGCATTATAAATGAATGGTAAGGAATCAGTAAACTAGAGTGAAAATAAAGGATACATTAAAGCTGCTGTAAAACTTGTTAAAAATCCGAAAGAAATATTTACTGAAATATGTGTCATTTACAGCAACCAATGCCTGTTTTATAAACATATGAGCAGGTGGATTTCAATGATAAAAAAAAATATATAATGGGCATCAAAAATGGGTACCCTCCTTGCCAACAAAAATTACAACAACTTATGTACTGTTTGCAAAATTTCAACAAATAATATTTGATGATGTATGATTGACTTTAAGACACATAGCAAATTTGATAGACATCATATCGGGAGTAATTTACACTGTTTTTAAGAAACGTTTGACAGTAAAAAAAAGCTTGGTACTCAAAGGTCGCCCTATATTTTGAAAAATGAGTGAAAACGACAGCGTGTACGAAAGTCTTAACAATTATTTTAAAATATCAGTAATTGTAGTTATCCACGTTTGTTTTATATTCAAACAGATATTGGAACATGAATCTATTGCTTAAAATCATCAAAATAATATTTATCATAAGATGTACTTCATAAAAACGGCGAAGGTCTGACAAAAGCAAAGATATGCAAGAGCACAAAGACGGATTTATATGCAATTTTCTTAAATATTAGTGCTATTGTTGATCAAATTCGTATTCGGGGAGGCAGTTTAATATCTGGAGGAGTCTAGAAAGCAATTTTTTTGCAAAAAAATCGAAAGGTTTATTAGAGGAAGGACCCAGAATCAGGAATCCACTACATTGAATTCCTTCATGACAGCGTCCAAACCCGCATGCCCTGAAGAGTAAAGGGGTTTTTGGGATAAACAGAAAGTTGATGTTTTTTCACATTAACAATATTTGCCAGATCTTTGACTTTTTGACTTGTTTCTATTTCCAAACTTGAAAAAAACACCTTTAAGAAGGAAAAAGCAAGTCCAGGAAACCATTGGATCTGCCATTTTCCAGTATACTAAGGGTCCTACCCAAAAATGAGTTCTAAAAACTATCAGAAATTGGATAAAAAATGTTACGGACATGTGTTTGAATAAAAAGAGATTAATAAGTAAAATCACGAAGACTAAGTCATTGAAAAGCGTTGTTTGCTTCTTTCTAAGCACTGAGGACATTATTTATTGAACAGCCCTCGTATATCCACCCGTATCTTCGATAACGGGGGTATAAAAATAATTTTCAGTATGTTGGTATTGATTAGATCAAAAATCATAAAAATCATAAAAAAATAATTTTTACCAAAGATCAGTCAGAAAATTTTTGGTAAAAGTGGGTCAATCTCCAAGATCAAGGCCACGAGGTAAAATTTGGCGGTATCCAAATAAATGCCTTGTACACATGTGAAACATGAAAGTCATAGCCCCACACACCTAATAGATATGACCAAGGTTTTTGCGGACAAACAGACAAGCAGACGGACGGACGGGCAGGGCAAAAACTACATATCCCCGAATCTACGATTACGGGGGATAAAAAGTTTCTCAAAGAAAGGTTTTGTCTCATAAAATATTCAAGTGAAAGGCCAAGCACAAACCATTCAATAGGTTTGGCCAAGATTAAATGTGGATCAGACTACAAAGTCAAGGTTAAAGGGTCAAACTTAAGGTACCCAGGGGGAAGATCTGGTCATTAGAAATATACACATATAAAATATGAAAATCCTAACATCAACTGTTCAAACTTTATGGCCAAGATTTCATCATCATGGTTCCTTTTGATTCCTGGTTGATCATAGGGCCTCGACAGCAGTCCTCCATCACACTCTGTTTTGAGCAGCCTTTTTCAGTTGTTCCCAGCTATGTCCACACTGTCTGATTTCCTCTTCACATGACCTTCGACAAGTTGTCCTGGGACGCCCAACTCGATGTTTGCCTTGGATGGCCAAGATTTACGTTTTCCAAAAGTAGGCAAAACTCTTAGATCAAGGTCAAAAGATGAAAATTTGTGGTATTCAAATAACGATCTTGTCACAAGGAATGTACTTGTAAAATATGAATGAAGAACCTTCTGCCAGCTGTTCAAAAGTTGTAGCCATGGATGAAATTTCTTAAAAAGTGGGACAAACTCCAAGGTCAAGGTAAAAAATATCTTGTCACAGTGACTATACTGTTACATTTGAAATATAAAGGTCTAGCACGAAAATACTGATTGAAAAGTTATAGTCAAGGTTAAAGTCTAGTAAATGTATGCAGAAGTGGATAAAAGTCCAAGTTCAGGGTCAAGATGTGAAATATATTGGTACCCGAAGAAAGATCATGTCACAAGGAATACACATGTGAAAAGGTGAAAACTATACCTCTAAGTAACCAATCAAAAGGTATGCCTAAGGATAAAGGTTTTGCGGACTAACAGACAGGCAAACAGCTAGACAGACAGACGGATAGGAAAAAAACGTATATTCCCCGAATCTTCCATTACTGGGGCAAAGAAGTGCGGGTTTTACTGGCCAGAAGGAAAAGTTTATTGAAATCCGGATAAAATTGATTTGTGTTGAAGGTTTACTATTTAGGGTTCTCTAAAAGTTTCCTGTGTTATGAAAACGACTTTGTAAAGTTTGTTATTTTGTAAATCGGCATGTACTGTACTGAGGTTTTCTCTTAAAGTTTTAAATGAAAACGCAATGAACTTTTAAAACAAAATAGTTATAGTGAAAGAGCAAACTATGTCTGCGTCGGAACACTTGTCCCGTGTGAGAATATTGTATAAAGCAATTCTGAGGTGAGCAGATTGTCTGAACTGCACGATCAGGTTGAAAATGGGGCATAATCAGGTCCAGTCCAAAGACTAATTCTACCTACGTAGCTACTTAAACCTACGTAAAGTAGCTATTTTTGCCTACTTTTTGTATTATCTGCATTTTGTGACCAAAAGACTGAACAGCGCAAAATAGTGAATACCCTATATTTTGATAGTCACATAGTTTGAAATTTTGGCCAAAAAATGATTATTCCTGAATCTTAAATTTTACATTAGTTTCTATTCAAAATTCTTAATTTACAAAGTAATCATTTTTTGTTCAATTTTTGTTATACATGGTTTGACTGTAAAGAAATTTGCTATTATATCTTATGAATATATGTTTGTTAAAGCCTCTATGCAACGTGCGAAAGCCGAAGTGATTATACTATTTTTTTAAAAAAATATTTTTTAAAAAAAAAATCACAAACATGCAAAAATGATTCGTTTACACTTTGTTTTCAATTAAAAAAAATAATGAATTAATTTTGTTTTTATTTACCTAAGGTAAACACAAAAGTTTGTTTACAAGATGGACGGGCACAGAAGAAATTGGAAAAATAATAAATAACATGTTCATTACACAAAATTTGTCACAGGAAAAGGGTTTAACTTTAAACAAAACATTATATTTTCCGTTTTATTAAATCACATAAAAAATCTAGTTGTATCAAACATGGAGGTCAAGGCACAGAAATAACTTTGGGAGAGCCAAAAAATGATAAACTTTTTCGCAATACAATCTCTTTAAACATTTTACATTATTTTTATGCAAAATTCCATCACTTTGCACGAGCATATTTTGTGTAATCATTTTTTGTGAAAAATTTTTGTCATATCCATCATCAGTTTGACTGTATCAAGAAATTTGCTACTCACTATATTGCACCGTTCTGTCATTTGGCCAAAAAATGCAAGTAAAACAGAAAGTAGGTAAAAATAGCTACTTTGGGTAGGTTTAAATACCTACATAGCTATTAATAGCTACGTAGGTAGAAATAGTCTTTGGACTGGACCTGATAATAGCCATTCCAAATAGGATATACAAAATGGATTCGAAAAAGATCACCATTGTGAGATTATTTCCTAGGAAGTTTAGGATCTTTTAGGGGGTAAATCTTGCTAGCCAAAAGTTATTGTTTAAGTATTTCAAACACTATTCCATTTGGGCAATATTCATCCCAACTTGCTAAACGTGCTGTTTTTTTTTCTTTTCACTAACTTAATTGCCATTCAAAATGTAATGGAAATCATTGTCTGAAAAGTTTATTACATTTAGTACATTAATTTTAATTGTTCATTGTTATTATAACAAAGTAAGAACTTTATTGTTTATTGCAATTAGGTTACACAGAAGCCTTCCCTTAGAGATGAGAGCTATGGGTGACCAGTATGTTAAAGATGAATTCAGACGCCACAAGCAAGTCAACACGGCAGAGGCTCATGTCTTCATGCAGGAATGGACTGTGAGTGGAATATGTCTGTTACTACTGTAATTACATTGAACTTACTGAAAATGTTAAACATTAGAAATGGACAAATCACATGGGAATCAAAGAAGAAAAACATACACATACTACATGTTTCCTACATGAAAAATACTACATGATTGCTGAAAAAGAAATCTATTTTACCATTACATAATGTTAACGAAAAATATATTTTTATAATTAAAAAAAGGATTAATTGTTTTAAATTTTTTGTGCAGAAATACTACCTCTCTCTAGGAAAACAATTATCAGCTCGCAGAAAAGAACAAATTGTGGGCTCACATCTCAGTGAAGAATTTGCGGAACATTTTAGTGATGATCAGGCCCATCAGTTACTGGAACTTCATAAAGCCATAAAAAATCCGCAGGAAGGAGAGGGCAGCTCAACAAGCTAACCAACTGTGATTAATACTGTGATGTGTTCACAATTATGTAATAGTATTTTCATGTACACTTGTGTATGTAAACTTGAGTGAGAGAAATTAATTTGTATTTGAATGATGAGATGATTTCAGTAACTGACATAATTTTGTTGCAAAGGATACCTTTCATGCATTGGTGTCTGTGCCAAAATATGAAGCTCACTTTTTTAGTACACATACAGTATGTTGTAAAAGAAGATTTGAGGAGGAGATTGTGAGAGTAATTAAACAATACTGCACTGTATTTTTTTTTATCATTCACGGCATACATGTTCACAGGATGAAATATTCTCCCCATTCTTAGATCTCAACATATGTTCCACTAATAGTAGAATCATTGTATAATTTGATACACTTGTATTTTATTAATTTATTTTTTAGATTGCTTCAGATTATAAAACTGTAAAAAAAAAAAAAAAAAAAAAAAAAAAAAAAAGTCTAGAAAAAAATTGTTCAGATGCAAGATTTTTTTATCATGCATCATATGCATTGTATATGTATCATTTTGTCCTAGAGTATTTTGAACATGTCTTGATGGTAATACATGTATTAAAGATAAACATAAAAAATTCCCAGCTATTACTTGTATATGGAAGTGAGAGCTGATCTCACCAGGTCAGCAGATTGAATCCAGTTTGTAATGAGCTGTTGATGACCCAAATATAGGTCACACTTCTTAGTTCACAATAAATTGATTTATATTTGAGAAAGAAAAATGATAATATTTACAGTCTTTAAATCAGCTTATCACCCAAATCTATGGAGCTGATCCTCTAAAAGTTGTCAAAGCTCAGTATTAGTTAGGATTGTGCAGTCTATGGGTATTGCCCTAGCTGGGAAGCTCATGGGATAGAAAACCTGACTAGTAATTTAGTGATCCTTGGTTTGGTTCCCAGGTCCAGCTTTAAATTTTATCTCCATTTAATTGTCACATATGGTGCCATGTGTATAGAATCTTAGAATGGGTTGGTTGGGTTGTATGGACCAGGCATGGCTAAGTGGCCAGAACACAATATGCCTATTGAGTTGATTGTATTGTATTAGGGTCCTGGATTTTGATTCCAAATCTAGACAGAAATTTTCTCCTTTCCTGGTACAAAGTGATGGAAACAAAAGATTTATTCTTAAGAAATGTTCTTAAATGGAAACACAAGCATACTGTGTATATGTAGTGTTGAGACAACAGGACCATATATGTACATGTATTAAATGAGGTATGTACTAGTAGGTCAATTGAATAAAAAATATAATACACCATACAAGAAAATAAGTACAGTCAAACTTCGTTATCTTGAGCTCGAAGGGACCGAGAAAAAATTGAGAGATAACCGTCAGGATTCGAGATATCCAAGTGTTAAATACTATTATTAAGGAGTAGGTAGTTAGAACTTCAAAATGACTTCAACATTTATATATCCATGTTTGAGATATACCAAAGTTCAACTGTATATATGTTATAATGTAAGAAAAAAAAATTTTGCATCTAGGGGTTACAGACAATGGTTACAGATAATGTTAATTTTATACATGTATTAAAATCAAAATATTTGGCAAAGGTGTACTGACGTTGCACAAATGACTGAATGAAATTAAAAAGCTGTGCAAAGTCATGCGCTCTCAAATTAGATTTGGCCTCGTTAACTAAATTGATGTGCTTTTGATTTGTTTGATGAGAAAGACTATTTTTGTTCATTCAAGGTCATCTTAATTTGCTTGCATTTACGGGCAATTAATATATGCAAAAGTTTATTTCATACACTATCATCTGTGGGTTCTTTAGAGTGTTGTCTTTTGGGCCTTTTGTAATTAATTAAATAATGTTATCTTAACAAATATACTGAGTCTTTTAGTACAGCTGTATATGTCATATTTGGTATGCGAAATATTTAAGTTTTTTCAGAGGGAGTGATGAATGTTTGTTTGGAATTGCTTTTTCTAGATTTCAGACCTTTGAGAAAGGGAAGTAGGGAATTTTTTAAATTAAGTTAAACAGGTGGCCTAGCTACCTAGCTGATGTAAAAAAAAAAAGTGCAAGAAAAAGTTAGCGAACACATTTTTTTAAAGGACCCCAAGTCCCTATATTTGCTTATATAGTTCCCTTGCTAATTTAGTGTTTTGACAGCGCATGTGATAACAGACCAAGAAGTTGTTAAATTAAAAAAAAATCTTATTTTTGGCTAATGATTTTTTAGGAGGGGTTATTTCAATAGCTTGAATAAGCGGAAGCAGTATTTATCAGAGACATAAACCGTTGTTTTATATGTCTCTGGTATTTATTTATTTTTTTTAAGGAAGATAAGTTGAGCTGTTCCTTTTCCCAAATTTTTCAAAATTTGCACAAATCACACTTGTGTGAATAAAAAAATTGGAGCCGATTTTACTTATACATGTAGCTCCTGTTCTCCCTATTATCTCCCACACAGTGATATTAGTCCAACCCGTCGTAGCATTTTCGCCGATTAGTTGCGTCGTAAAGCAGGAACCGTGAGGGAAGTTAGGGAGCCACGCCGTGTAACGGTCTCCTGGCGTGAGTTTACCCTGGAGAATGGACAGAGTCTGACATTTCTGTGGATCTTGTCGTTCCTTCAAAGGTTTGGTAAGTAAAAAACTTGATTTCTATCGTCTGAAATAATCAGGACTTGTAGGAGCTTCGCTGCTGTCCATTAAAAATGTCAGATTATGGAAATTTGATCCAAGAGTGAATATTATTGAATTTATGAAATGCAAAAACAGTAGAATTTATTAGGTAATAACGATAGGACCTTAATGCTCAATGATATTGGTTAGTGTTGGAGGCTTTGCAGCTGAAGTCTAGTTTCATAAATAAAATGTACGGTAGCCATGGAGGGACAGAGGAGGTTCAGTCTTAAAATTTATTATAAAATTTATTAAAAAAAAAAAATCCTTCAATGTAGTGAAAAGACATATCAGATCAAATGACCACATCTAGAGTTTAATTATTTTTAATGTCACATGCTTTTTCTCTATATTCATCAGTAATATATTCATCATCTGATTTGTAATTAACACTTAAAAGTAAAATTGAAAGGATTTAAGAATTTTATTTCCAAAATATTATGATATTTTAGACTATTTCTTCACTAACTTGGATTCACTAACATGGACGAAATTTCATTACAAATTCCTTACCTATGAAGACATCTCTTTTGCAACTCACTTTCTCTTGACACTCAGAATTTATGTAATTCTTAACATCTCCCATCGTCGCAAACCACGGCCAAAATGTACGATCCTCTCCCATTCTGGCCGTGGTTGAACGAGGCGAGAATTCTTTGTAGCTCATTAAAATATTGACCAATGTGAGTAAAGCATAGTCGGAAGATGAACTTTATCATGACCTTTCAATATCCAATCGCAGTAAAGGAAATGTTTCTTGTATACTGTTGACATCAGTTGTTGATTTCAATTGCGATGGAAACAAAACTTGTCACTGGCTGAATATGACGTCACAATAGAGAGGCGTAAATATTCAAGATTTCGACACTTTTTGTGATCAAGCAGCCATGGGTAGGAGAGAGCTATATGCGGACTCCGGACCGTGGCTTGAGACGATGAACATCGCCCATCATCGGAAACCCATGGTCGGTATCGCAGTGAGACTGACCGGGGGTTTCCAAATGATGAACATCTCCCTACCTTCACTAAAACAATCCATCCATTTGCTAAGTGAACTGCAGGCGTAAACCTTATACAAATCATAAATTATTACTGCAAAAGATTTCACAAGTAACCTTCTTGTGATATTTCACATCTCCCATTTGTACCTCTAAGACCATGATAGATTTTTAAATTACTATTATGTCATATTACAATTATACTTGAATATTATCTAGTCTTAATCATACTGTAACAATATTGTACAGTATATGCCCCCCTCCCTCCCGAGGGCCTTTGATTGCTGAATTAAACACATTTTATGAAGGTTTAACATTACAGGTGTACCTTAGTTGAACTTTTTTTTACAACTCATCTAAACATTGCCATCATTTTCACATTTTGATGTCATTAGCATATATTAAGCAAATCATTACATACCAATTAAAAAAAAACTTTATTGTGTATATTTGCCAAAGTTCATTCATATCTCATAATCTGAATTATGGCTAGTAAGTAGATTTAAGGAATCACTGTCTAGTTTGTTGGGTATGCCAGGCCATCAATGATAGTTGGGAATGTGGGATAGTTTAAATGCATAATGGGCTAACTCTCACTAATATAGTTACATGTATAAGTTGCAGAAGCAGTGAGCCCCTCACTCATGAGTTCTGTCAACTTACTAATTTCCCCATTTAAGGATAAATCACATATTATCCTGAATAATATGTGAATTATCCTGAAGGCCAGAGCATTAGGTGTCTCAAAACATGACAAATATTTGTTTCTCAATTTTAAAAGAAATGGGTGTGGCATTTTGAATGATTGACACTCAGTGAGAAGATACATTCAAAGAAAATTTTTATCTTTTCAATGAGCTTCATTTAACTATAATTTCTTTTTTTATGTCTTGGAAAAATATACCAAGGCCTTCTCTAGATACTAGCATTCTTTTCATTATGCAACTGACATTAACCACATAATGCTATTCACAATCTAATGGGAGTTATGTCTGACATTTAACTTGCCAGATCAATGAAATAAAGAGGTTCCTAAATCGTAAATTTTACCAAGAAATAAAGATTTAAGTTTTTTTTATGGAGATTTATGCATTCCGTTTGATCTATTCCCACACTGGTAGATACAAATTTAGCCCCAAACGAACAGACACCATCAAGCATATTATTATTTAAGTTTACTAATCATCGTGCTCATGCACACAAGTTTATTATTATCTTTTGGGGGCAGGGGGCATCATTATAGTCTTGATTTCTTGATGTATTTTACAAACATTTGATATACATGTCTGTTTCATTAAAAATGTTTATTCTGCATGCTCTGGAGGAAGTTGAACACTACAAATATAATTTAATATATCCCTTTAATACTACCTTTTTTTTTTTGAATAAAAAGTCTTGCAGAGTAGCATCTGCTTACAATGAAACATTGATTCATTCACTTGAAACACTTTAAAAAATGTATGGTAAAAAGTTTTTCACATTGCTTGTTAAGCTTTGCAGCTAGGATATGAGATTGAATTCCAGTTTTAGGAATCTGTCAGAATACTATAGATTGGCAAATAATCATATCATGTATTTAATTTCACAGTGTTTGCGATCTATCGTTTTTCTGCGAAATTAAACCCACAATGAATGCTATCATTACCGGTAGTTTTTAACAATGTTTTTATTTTTTGAATTTATTAATGCTTATACGAAATTTAAATTAATTTCTTGCAGAGTGAAATTAAAACCATTGCCAAAAATCTTGGTACTTTTTGAGAAATTGTGAAAATTAAACACTGTGGAATTAAAACAACTTACAGTATACCTTAATTAAAATATTATTAGAAAATGATTTAGACCTTTGACCTAGTTAGGCTGATTCAGGTCATTGACCCCTTTTATCATTTCTTGCCTTGGGCAGCATGAGCCACTCAAAATATTTGAGTTAGGTCACTGAGAATGCTTCAGGTTGTTAATTGTATTTATCCAGGAATGTTCGGTTAAAGAGACGCCACCTACTATATCCAGCATCACATTCTACAGATCATTTCTCATCTTCAGATCTTGTACTTGCAAAATGCTCAGTTTTATAAAGAAAACCAGAGGGGAAATATTACAAATGTACAATGATGTACCCATTGTGTCTCATTTACATAAGAATTATCAAGTGTTGATAATTAGAGCAATGCAGAGGAATACTCCAATCCATTTCATCTAGTTATGTAGGTACTTGTCATGTGTAGAGATCCTGAGAGTAATCTACGTACTGTAAGTACTCAGACTCAGTGGGTGAGTACTTGTCAACATAAAGCAGACTCCAAATTCCTGGCAATAGTACTCAACTATAGGATCTGGCAGTTAGAAGGGTTTTTATTGCATTAGATGTAGATATGTATTAGTTGTAATGATCCCTTGGTGGTGATGTATGTTTTCTCTCTTGTGTATGTATGTTTTCTATAATCATGTAGTCTATCTTAACACAGCTCAGACAACATGACCTGCACCTAGAGAAATCATGAATGATATAAAAGCTGGTGCTAGTTGTTGAACAGTTTTGAATAGTTTATATAGGAAGGAGGGTTGATTGATGTATCTATTTTGGCTCTGTTCAGCAGTGAGGAGCATGCATGAATGTAAATCTGAGAGGTGACATCGATGCATTGATCACTGACCTAGTCTGTCATGTTGTTTTATTAGCAGAGTTTGCCGCAATATTTATACAACCTCTACTACACAGTGCATTGATTTTGTTCAATTCTTTTTCTGTTGAAAATTACCAAGCTTTGTGGTTTATGTGTGTGGAGACTTGCTTGTTTGATAATTTTACAATGGCCATCTCTGTAAGACTTATTATTTTAGTTTCAATATTTTATCTAGGTGTTTTTTCTGTCTTGCTGGATAGAATTTTTTTTAAAAGCTTTAAATCATTATTGGAATCTTCCATAAATCCCTCTGACTGTGACTTTTAAACTTTCTCTGGTGTGAGCTTTACAATGTAATACAGTGTGTACGTCAGACTGTGGTAGATAGATATTATGAGCTGTATTATGGTGACATTGTATTATGGCAACCCTCACCTGAATGCTCCATTAGATCCCAATAAAATTGCTAGACTGCATTTCTTTTTAATACAGAGATGGGTTAGTTCCAAGCTAGTGCAGGATAAATCTGGATAATCATAATAATCATATGGTGTTTAAAAGAAATGGGGTAAGATTGCTATTTAATTAAGTTCAGGTAACCTGAAGTACATTGGAGAAAGTTTGAAAATGTTGGCTTTTTAGAATAATAATAATTCATCTAAGAGTTTCTTAGGGTTATTAGTGTATTTTATCTTCATGGTGCATCTTCAATTGTTTGGGCTTATAGAGACTATCTAGCAGTTTTATAGATAAATATAATGTCATGAAATGGGAAGACATCATTTTCATAGTTTCACTGAGATATATAAATGAAGATGTGTTAAGGAAGTTTAAGGTCATGATGCAGCTAACAGAGTGAACAATCTACGGATCAAGTATAAACGGAACTACTTCACTAATAGGTGTGATCTGTTCAACTTCCCTCAGGCAATTATGTTGACGAATGAAAATATTTTTAGTCTCTATTTTTTAGAAATGCCTTGCAATTTTTCAAGTGTGACCTGTTTACAAATTTTGATTATTCATTGCAGTGGAGCCTAAAATTTGAGATTTTTATACAGGTGTGTATATATTTTCAATATCTGTTTTTATAGCAACAGAGCTTTTCATCTGTTTAATGTTAGCTTATCTAGCTAGGGCTGAATTGTTTGATGTTTTTTTAAAATCAATTGAAGCATAGGAAGATAAAATTGTTGGAGTCATGTTGTTGAGTGGGTGTATATAGATTCTAGGTTTACTTACAAGGCTAGCTGGTAGGAAGGTATGTAGCGCTGTGTACTAAAGCTTGTCAGGTTCTGGGCAGAAAGTTGGATTTCATGAGAAAAAAAAAATTAAAATTAAATATTTTATCTATACTTACTGGCAATGGCAAACCTTTTTTTTTTTTGGGGGGGGGGGGGGGGGTTGTATCTCCAAAATCAGAAATAGATCATGTATAAAAAATATTTGAATAAGATTAACATGATTGTATAAAAAGTGACTGTGGCTGTATTAGGCATACAAAACATCCTTCTTGATCAAAGAAGGAAAACTATATAAAACAAGATAGCTTTATGCAAAACATGTGTTGAAAAGAATGTTCCACATTGGTTTGTGGTAAGATATGATTTTTTTTATCCGAGTTGTGCATTTTATCCCCTTGCCAAGCTTTGAATAAAAAAAAAAATATCCAACCACATTTGTCCAAGCATTCAAAGATATATTTTTTATGTTTATAAAACTGAAGGGTAACTCGATCTGTCCCTCTGATATCAAGTTTTGTACATGTATAAAGTTTAGAAGTCAAACTTGGAGATTTAATAATCACTTAAATTTCGTACACATGCAAAATCATGGTTGCTGGGGGATGGGAATGGATCACCCATGTAGGTAAACTATGACATTCACTTTGTTTCCATGCACCTTCAGCTTCAATGTTACTATAGGCAATCAACCTACATTGGTGTATTGTTTCCCCTATTTTCCTTAAAAAAATTGTACATATAATTGACTCATGGGTGTGTGTGTTGTCTTTTAATTGAGTTAGACAGCTTAATACTTGCAAGCATGTTTTTTAGCATATGATATAGATATTTGTTGATGATTCCTGTAATACCGTCAGTAATAACTATAACTCTCAGACTGGAAAGAAACCTTGAGGTGGATTTATGGAATTGATCTATTGATGTCGGTGTGTGATACTGACTAATGTTTACTCATCATCTGATTTTTTTCCTGAAGGCTTGGTGTGCAAGGATTTCCTTTCATTGGCATTAAATATGTTCCTAATATTCCTATTTGAAGAACGGAAATTTTTGAATCTTAGAATTTGAGACTTATAAAACTGTGTTACCTTATAGTCTCCTAGATTTCAATGAAGAAGTATTTATTTAATAAAATAATTTAAACACAGTCAAGAGAAACAAGAATCAATATGAGGTACTAAATATTGATTCCAGGATTATTCTGCTTTAAGCTAGAGATAGTTATAGCAGTGATGGAATAAGGTTATACCTAGAGGATCCGATAATCACTGTGCCCTATTATTGTCTGATTAGTGTCATTTACATAATAGGCAGGTATAGAAACAAATATCAGGATTTCAGACATTCTCAGATACAGAGGAGACGTGTGTTGGACAGTGTTCTTATTTTCTTTTAAACAAAGCATTGGAGGATTATGTGATTTGTGATTGAATTACCCAAGATGCTCATATGAATTGAATAATGTACGATCACATACACTATAATTTGGCACAACTGGTCAGTGTTAACAGAAAAATGAATGTTTTTCTGATGTATTTTATTGGGAGAGCATGCAGCCATTGCAGATATATGATATGTATCTATTTTGGTATTTTGCAGGGTGAAGTTGAGCAGTATGGCGTCGAGTGGCCTCTCCGGTCCCACCTATAAGATCCATCAGGTGCCGGAACACTTCCACGAACACTTCATCATCAGTGGCTACCGCCACCCCAAGAGTACCCCTCTCCAGTGCATTCTCAGTGTATTTGATGCCACTAATGAAACACTTAACTTCTGGACACATTTCCTGCCGTCTTGGTATTTTTTGTGGGTGCTGCGTGATCTTTCAGAAACATTAGATTTCAAACATGACAGTTACACATGGCCACTGTTGGGTTATATGTTTGTCTGCATCATTTTTCCTTTGGCTAGTGCTGCAGCGCACACCTTTAATACCATGTCAACTTTAGCGAGACACATATGTTTTTTCATGGATTATGGTGCTTTGAGTATTTTCAGTCTTGGGGTGGCCATTGCCTACAGAGCATACTGTTTTCCCTCTGATTTGATAGACACCTGGTTTGGACAACATTATACTGATATTGCTGTCATTAATAGCCTTATATGTACTGTGGTGTCTTGCCAGACTCGCTTTATGCCACCAACCACCCTAAGAAAAGTGCTGCGCCTCGGTGCCTTTGCCTGGCTGTACTGCTATGACTGTATTCCAATCGTCTACCGCCTCCTGTTCTGCAGTCCTGAAGATTGCGCGCTTCAGTCCCAGTTCATACATGGACGTCAGTTCTTCTTTGCTGTCCTTGCTGCGTTTTTGTATGCGACCCACCTCCCCGAGCGGTTGATCCCGGGCCGCTTTGACATCATTGGCCACAGTCATCAGCTGTTTCATGTGTCCTCCATCCTAGGAGCCATGGACCAGATGCAGGCCATTCTGTACGACATGAAGGACCGCGGCCCTCCCAGCGACGGAAGGCAGTGGGAATTCAGCTCAGCTTGGAGCACGATTGGTGTGATATTGTCTGTCATGACTGTTAATACACTTGTAATTATTTTCTTCTCTATTAAGTTAAAGTTTAATCACCCTAAGGTGAAATGATCATATTAAGGATGTGTATGTTCTCATACTAAGTATGTGTATGTTCCTGTTATGTTATAAGTATGTTCACAGCTTATTATATATACCGGTAAGTTTTCTGTGTAATTGTATCAATTCTTCAGTACTGCAACTATTAAAACAAGATTATTATGGATAATTTTTCTATTCATGATAAGCAATCAAGGACCAATGAATACATGTATATTCAGCGATTTAATTTGTAATTCTGTGCGTGAGCCAAAATTAAATCTGAAAAACAATGCATGTGTCCCATTATGTAATATCAGTTTCTTATTTGTAAGCTGTTATCATATCTAAGTGTAGGCTAGCAAAGATATTGCACAACTTTACATAATGATTACATTCCTGTAAATGGCCCATACCGGTTCTATATATTTTATAATTATTTTCTACCGTGCACACATTTTGGTCAGCTGAAATTGATTTTATTCATGAGAAGAAAATATATTAATTTATGTCATCTGGAAAATTTAGAATCCTTGAGGAACCAATTAAGTACACAAGTACATTCTGTTTTATACACATATTTCAATTATAGACCTTTATCTGTATCATACAAAATATTGTGGGAGAACTTTTTTTTTGCATCTGATCATAAAAGACCAACACTACTTTAGTGCTATATTACTGTGATATATATAATATTTTTGTATTTATTATAATCAGTGATTCAGAAAGGATCGGTCTGTTATGGATGATTTTAAGAAGAAGCACATATTGTCCTTGTGTTGTTAAATACTTCCTGTCAGCAAAGTGAAATCCTGATTCATTATTACAGTTTAGAAATGCTAGTATAGAGTTTGTAACCTGTACATGTAGACAACAGAGGTATATTTCTACCTGAGAATTATTTTTTAACATTGTAAAGATTTCTTATAGCATACTTTTTACAGATTTGAAGTATGTACATGTACTAAAGTATTAATAAAGCCTTGTATTTAGTGATTTATCACACAGTCAAAACAGCTGACAGACCTAGATCTTATAGATATACTGCCTTTGTCTTTACGTGTTTGTGTATTGTTTACATGTCTTTGTGTTTTTAAAGCTTTCTTCTTTACGTGATTGTACATTGTACATGATTTTTAGTTTCACTATGGTGTACTTAGATATGACCATTACTGTATGGCCACTCGACATCAGCTGATTGGTGTATTTTTCTGTATTTACATTTACGTTATTTGAAAGTTCATACATTTTATTTTACTTTATTGTTCACCTTTCAGGTCTTTCACAAATTGTTTTCATAAGTTCATAGCCGTGTTCAAGAATTTCTTTTTTTTTTGAGATCAGATATTACTTAATTATTTGTTGAAAAAAAATGTTATGTATAAATTTTTTGCCTGTTGTCAAAATGTCTACATATTCGAAACATTTTTCAAAGCGTTCAAGTGTATGTTTGTCATGTTCAAGTGTATGTTTGTCATACAGCTGTACCTGTAATCTAAAGAAGGGGCTAAATTAAGACAGATTTTGGTATGAATGTCCTCAGGAGGTAAAATACCTACCTAACCCTTTTTGTCAGGTTTCATCAAGCTGAATATTATGTTGAAACTGTGGTGCTTTAATTATTATACCAGAAGAAATCAACATGTTTTTGTGGACACATCAGAAAATATATATTCTTTATACAGGTTTTATATGAATACTTATTTTTGCATAATTTATTTTGAAAAAATTTCAGCATTTTAAGGATGTGGCTTAATATAATTAATGTACATTTAATATTGTATAAATGACAGTGCACATGTATTCTTAGATATTTTTGGACACAATGGGTAAGAGATTCAGAAAATTGTGTTTTCCCCTTTCCTTGTAAATTTGACCAAGTGTCTTGCTCTTATCATGACCATTTTTTTTCTTCATGAACAAGTACCGGTAGTTAAGATGTAAACACTGTTTACATTCAAATTGAATCAGTTTTCATACTTGCATTCTATTGAAGTTTTTATATCTGTCTTTCTTCAAACAACATAGTAACAACCTCATACAAATAGATAAACCAATATTAATGTATTAAATTAATAATTGTTAAAATTAATGCAAAATATTGGAATTCAATCTTAAAAATTAACCAAATAGTTTCAAGTAGTTTTCACACCAAATAGAAAATACCTCACTATCATACTGTACAGGAATATTTGAAAACTTTCATACAATTCTATGTACAATGTACTTAGAAACTTTCAATATTTGAAAAGAGTAATAATTATTGATAAAGCAAAACTGGGTGTTTATTGACCAAAAAAGTCATATATTGTAAGAACTGTTTTGGATATTATTATTTTTTTTTTTAAACAAATTATTACAGTCATTTTATTTTATATTATTTCAATAAAGACCAATAGTTAGCTTATACAAAATCTAAAAATACTCTGTGCAGTAAAATTAAATTGCATGCAATTTTATAGATATTCGATGGAACATGTACAGGTACATTTAGCAATGTACAATTTTTGGTCGATATTTCCTAATTTATGATATATTATTATGAAGAATGTTTTCAATTTATCATCAAAACAGATATACTAAAACATAAAGAATGTTAATGTCAAAGACAATTTATAATGATGTAATATAATTATGGAATACAGAAGCGTAGGTTTCACACACTGTAGCGTGCAATGACATTCTCTAGTTGTGGCTTTAAGAGCACTCATATTTTCTCTGCAATGTTTCTTGTTGATTTTTTGTTTTAGTTTTATGTTATGCTTTGCAAATATTGTAATAAATTTTGTAAAAGTATATTCTTGCTTTTTTTTCATACCCCAGGCAACTTGTTGAGGGGAGTATAATGTTTTTGACTGGTCATCAGTGTCAGTCAGTCCGTCAGTCCTGTTTTTTTTTTGTCAGTGCAACTCCTCATAAATCGCTGCACAGAATTTCGTCAAACATTGCAGATATTTAGGACACAATCAATGTGTAAATGTGCATATTATACCAGGAAATTCTGATTTCTTTATTTTTTTCCGGGAATTTCCGCTCTTTTACACTTAGATTTTTGGCCATACCTTTAATATAGAGATGAACAGTTTGTCAGCGCAACTCCTCTTAAACCGCTGCACAGAATTTCTTCAAACTTTGCAGATATTTAGGACAATGTGTAGATGTGCAGATTTATACCAGGAAATTATGATTCCTTTATTTTTACCAGGAATTTCGGCATTTTGAGTTTTGGGGGAGGGTGGGGTATGTGAGCTTGCTCACTTTTTCTTTCATTTTATATATAATTATTACCCTGTAATATGCATTGTTTTCTGAAAAATTGCCAAACATGAATCTGAACTATTAATCAGACAAGCAAATTAGCAAAAAGTAAATAATTTTTGCTAGTGAAACCTGTAAGGTCTTGAAATTCTTTGACAGTGATAAAGGACCATATGTGGTAATGAACACTATTTGCCCCCCCCCTTCCAAAATCAAACTTTGACGAAGAAATATATAATTATGTTCTAAAACAGGGGGATATCTGCAGACTTTAAACCACTGAATGTTTACATTAGCCATGATGTCAGGAAAATGACGTAAATTTAAAATTTCCATGATTTCTACAGAAAAAGGCGTAGATTGCGTCTATTTTGAGTAAAAAATCACTGAATGCAGGTCTGCTCAAGCTCAATATTTTGATAATTAAAAATATGTAGAATGATAATATCAATGAAATGTCTCAATATTGTTCTAGAGTAGGCCTGTGCTCAATAAACTTTATTAAAAATTTGGTAAACTTTGTCCATTTTTTCCACTTTCTGAAAAATAATTCCAAGTCTGACTAGTCTGTGTAGTCATAAAAACAACAAGAGGCCCATGGGCCACATCGCTCACCTGAGAAGCTTTGACCAGTCTGTTCTTTACCAGATTTTACCCTTGTTATACATAATGCATCCCCACCCTACCCCACTGATCATAATTTAGACATTTTGAAATCTACACTACCCCATGATCCTTCCATGGGCACATAAAATAAGAGAAGAAGATTTTCAAAGATTTTTCCTATATATTTCTATGTAAAACTTTGATTCCCTAGAATGGCCCAGCCCTTCCCCCGGGGGTCATGATTCCTACAATTTCGAATTGACACTACCCCAGGCTGCTTCCACATAAGCTTCACTTTTTCTGGCCCAGTGGTTCTTGAGAAGAAGATTTTCAAAGATTTTTCCTATATATTTCTATATTAAACTTTGATTCCCCATTGTGGCCCCGCCCTTCCCCCGGGGGTCATGATTCCTACAATTTAGAATTGACACTACCCCAGGATGCTTCCACATAAGCTTCACTTTTTCTGGCCCAGTGGTTCTTGAGAAGAAGATTTTCAAAGATTTTTCCTATATATTTCTATATTAAACTTTGATTCCCCATTGTGGCCCCGCCCTTCCCCCTGGGGTCATGATTTGAACAATTTAGAATCTACATTATACCAGGATGCCTCCACATAAGTTTCAGCTTTTCTGGCCCAGTGGTTCTTGAGAAGAAGATTTTCAAAGATTTTTCCTATATATTTCTATGTAAAATTTTGATGCCCTATTGTGGCCCCGCCCTTCCCCCGGGGGTCATGATTTGAACAATTTAGAATCTACACTATACCAGGATGCTTCCACATAAGTTTCAGCTTTTCTGGCCCAGTGGTTCTTGAGAAGAAGATTTTCAAAGATTTTTCCTATATATTTCTATATAAAACTTTGGTTCCCCATTGTGGCCCCGCCCTTCCCCCGGGGGTCATGATTTGAACAATTTAGAATTAACATTATACCAGGATGCCTCCACATAAGTTTCAGCTTTTCTGGCCCAGTGGTTCTTGAGAAGAAGATTTTCAAAGATTTTTCCTATATATTTCTATGTAAAATTTTGATGCCCTATTGTGGCCCTGCCCTTCCCCCGGGGGTCATGATTTGAACAATTTAGAATTTACACTATACCAGGATGCTTCCACATAAGTTTCAGCTTTTCTGGCCCAGTGGTTCTTGAGAAGAAGATTTTCAAAGATTTTTCCTATATATTTCTATATAAAACTTTGGTTCCCCATTGTGGCCCCGCCCTTCCCCCGGGGGTCATGATGTGAATAGTTTAGAATCTACACTATACCAGGATGCTTCCACATCAGTTTCAGCTTTTCTGGCCCAGTGGTTCTTGAGAAGAAGATTTTCAAAGATTTTTCCTATATATTTCTATATAAAACTTTGGTTCCCCATTGTGGCCCCGCCCTTCCCCCGGGGGTCATGATTTGAACAATTTAGAATTAACATTATACCAGGATGCCTCCACATAAGTTTCAGCTTTTCTGGCCCAGTGGTTCTTGAGAAGAAGATTTTCAAAGATTTTTCCTATATATTTCTATGTAAAATTTTGATGCCCTATTGTGGCCCTGCCCTTCCCCCGGGGGTCATGATTTGAACAATTTAGAATTTACACTATAAGGATGCTTCCACATAAGTTTCAGCTTTTCTGGCCCAGTGGTTCTTGAGAAGAAGATTTTCAAAGATTTTTCCTATATATTTCTATATAAAACTTTGGTTCCCCATTGTGGCCCCGCCCTTCCCCCGGGGGTCATGATTTGAACAATTTAGAATTAACATTATACCAGGATGCCTCCACATAAGTTTCAGCTTTTCTGGCCCAGTGGTTCTTGAGAAGAAGATTTTCAAAGATTTTTCCTATATATTTCTATGTAAAATTTTGATGCCCTATTGTGGTCCTGCCCTTCCCCCGGGGGTCATGATTTGAACAATTTAGAATTTACACTATACCAGGATGCTTCCACATAAGTTTCAGCTTTTCTGGCCCAGTGGTTCTTGAGAAGAAGATTTTCAAAGATTTTTCCTATATATTTCTATATAAAACTTTGGTTCCCCATTGTGGCCCCGCCCTTCCCCCGGGGGTCATGATTTGAACAATTTAGAATTAACATTATACCAGGATGCCTCCACATAAGTTTCAGCTTTTCTGGCCCAGTGGTTCTTGAGAAGAAGATTTTCAAAGATTTTTCCTATATATTTCTATGTAAAATTTTGATGCCCTATTGTGGCCCTGCCCTTCCCCCGGGGGTCATGATTTGAACAATTTAGAATTTACACTATACCAGGATGCTTCCACATAAGTTTCAGCTTTTCTGGCCCAGTGGTTCTTGAGAAGAAGATTTTCAAAGATTTTTCCTATATATTTCTATATAAAACTTTGGTTCCCCATTGTGGCCCCGCCCTTCCCCCGGGGGTCATGATGTGAATAGTTTAGAATCTACACTATACCAGGATGCTTCCACATCAGTTTCAGCTTTTCTGGCCCAGTGGTTCTTGAGAAGAAGATTTTCAAAGATTTTTCCTATATATTTCTATATAAAACTTTGATTCCCCATTGTGGCCCCGCCCTTCCCCCGGGGGTCATGATTTGAACAATTTAGAATCTACACTACCCCAGGATGCTTCCACATACGTTTCAGCTTTACTGGCCCAGTAGTTCTTCAGAAGAAGATTTTTTAATGACCCAACCCTATTTTTGTCTTTTCTTGATTATCTCCCCTTGCGAGGGGATATGTCCCTTCATTTTAACAATTTAAATTCCCTTTCACCCAAGGATGCTTTGTACCAAGTTTGGTCAAAATTGGCCCAGTGGTTCTTGAGAAGAAGTCGAAAATGTGAAAAGTTTTTAGAGGGACAGACGGACAGACAGACGGACAGACGGCTGGACGGACGGACGGACGACGGACAAAATGTGATCAGAAAAGCTCACTTGAGCCTTCGGCTCAGGTGAGCTAAAAATTGTCAATTACCTACTTTGAAACAATAATACATGTTCTATCTGTTAATTAAGATTTCTCATACAAAATACTAGTATAGAATTCAGCACATCTCAGATTTTCAAAATATGACTATTTGGGGGACAAAAAATATGTAATGTACCACGTACAGTTCTTTATAAATTAGGCAGTCATGTGTTAACTTGGCTGACAGCAATATTTTTGTTTTGCCTAACCTGAATTGTGAGGTCGTGACCTTTTTTCTGTCAGTCAGGCATCTGTTTGTCTCTTTGACAGTAAACTTCACAAATACTTGACTTCTCAAGAGTGACTGTAAGGAATTTTGTCCCATGTTGGCAAAAAACTTCTTTGGGAAAAAAGATCATTCAAATTATTAAAATGAGTGGCAAATCCCTATTCAATGAGAACGATTATCAAGAAAATTATTTAGAGTTGGGTAACTATCAAGAATCAGGCCAAAATGTTAAAACCTGGGTGAAGGATCACCAAAAAAGTGTATATTCTATTTTTTTTTAAATCATGGGTCACAGGAAACTAGGCTAGGATGAGACTAAAATTTAAACTTCAGAATATATATAGGAAAAAATCTTTAAAAATATTCTCCAGAACCACTGGCCTTGGAAGCAACTTAATTGAAAGTTCCCTGACATAAAGAAATACATTATGTACTTCAAAACTTGTATCTTCTAGAATCTCCTTTTCTGAAGAGCAAGGCAATGTTTACAAGCATCGGTCCTATAAAAAGTGCAGATTCAGATTTGTTTGAATGATGTGCAGATAGTTTGGCATGGACAGAGGCATAGTTAAACATTAAGATGACATCAGATTCGTACAAAAATGAATCCCATCATATGGCATGCCTAGACAAAGCGTGTGCTTAAATTCAAAGCATCAGTGATAAGTAGTTGACGAGAAAACTGATGAAAATTTGGTACAGACAGACGCAGATTAACACAAAGTTGACACTTGATTTGTGCGAAAGTGGATCCCACCATATAGCATGCCTAGACAAAGTGTGTGCTTAAATTTCAAGCATCAGCGATGAGCAGTTGCTAAAATAAACTGCAATGAAAATTTGTTACATACAGACACATTGACACACGGGGGTAAAACAGTATACTCCCCTCTCCTTTGGAGCGGGGATATAAAAATGCAGAACATGTATACAGTGTATCACATTTTAAGCTCTTATTTTGCAAAATAAAGAAATATCAAAACTGATTAATGAATAGAAAGGAAAAGACAAATGAAAATCAGTTTTAATGTAATATGTAACAAAATAAACAGTCATTTTCAAAATGATTAGGATTTTTTCACAGGAAGCAAGCTGCATCTGCAAGAAAAAAAATTTTAAGTTCAAAATTTCATCAGAAAAAAACAAGTTCTCTCAATTACCTTCTTTTTACATTAAACTAAATTAATAGATGTATTCTTATATTTTACATGTATGTGAAAAAAATTCATGAAGTGTGCTCCTACCCTAGAAGACCCCTCCCACTCCAAGCTCTGGGTGTTAGGGACAGGTTGTATTCTTTTTCACCTCTAAGTATCCGCAAGGAGAGTGGTTTCTGCAATGATGTACAATTTTAAACTTCAAAGGTTGCCATCACCAATACCAGAAAAGCATAGTGTTTAAGAGTTATCTATCTTTATATGCATTAACCCACATATTCTAATCATGAGGTTTGATCCAAAAGTATTGTAACTACTGTTATAAAATCTTCAATGATGGGAAGTCATCAATAAAATTTTAATATGAAAATGCCTTTACCAATTTTGACAAATGCCTAAAAAACAGAAAACAGGAAGGAGCTATATAAATTAGACTGACCATCAGGCCTGCAGCTGGTTTTGCCCCTGCCTGCCTGAGAAACAGACTATCTCAGGCAGGCAGGCAGGCAGTAGTTTCCAACCCTGATAGAGGTATTAGTATAGTATACTAAATTGTGTTGATTAAGTTAAATTTATTGTAAAGATTTATTTTACAGCATAAGCTGATAAGTGACATTTCTTTTGGAAAGTACCCTGTTTTTCACTACAGGCAATTAAATCATAACTCCATACATAATGTTTTTGTACTACATACATCTTTGCTGTGTTGAACCACTGTTGCTATGTTTTGTAGATTCTGGTAATTATGTGACATTACAGATCCAAACTTCAGCACTTTGTCATTGACACAAAGTCCCTGTCAAAACATTTAATATATATTATAAAAATTATTCTGTGAAACACATACAATGTACACAGTGAATAGAGACATTAAATTATAGATTAATAGTTGATGGTTATCATAATGATCAGGAATATGCCCATGACAAATATAATTAAAAATTACACAAGTATATGCAGGCGATCCTTCATCCACTTTGTCTACGGTCAGGAAGGGAGATAACCTTGTGTGAGCTTCCTCCACTGTGGCCGATTTTTCCTCCGTTGGATTTTGTTCCTTCTGAAGTCGAGCTTCTGCGTGGATTTTGTAGAGTCCTTCCTCTATCTCATTCATTACAGCTTTATGGTCATTTTGAAGACCTGTAACAGGAGGTAAAAATATCCTCATTTTTTTTAAAAATCAGAGAACTTAACTAACTTATTTAAGATTACATTCTCACTGTCTTTTTTTTGTTACTCAAGGTTTTTGAATAGGATTAATAAAGTCTCTGGTACATTTAATGCATCCCTGAAAAAGGTATCTATGTAAGCATACAGATTCCTTTTCATATTGTAGAAAGCTTGCGTACAAATTGCTTTTCACTGAAAAATAAATTTAAATTTATATCATACTAAAATGTCGATGCAAATTATCTGTGGGTAGATGTGTTTCTATAAAGAAAACTAATTATATTAGTGAGCAAAGAACGTAGCAAATGTGCAGATTGCAATGCCAGCAACATGTACCGTATAATCCCTATTAACTGCCTCGGGCGATTAGAAAATTGCGAAAAGGGGGCAGTTATTTTGGTTTTCTCTTTAAAATAATTGATGTCATACTTTAACTCCAAACAAGAGGCCCATGGGCCACATCGCTCAACTTTGGTCGGCCATTGTAGCCCCGCCCTACCCCCGGGGGTCATGATTTGAACAAACTTGAATCAACACTACCTGAGGATGCTTCCATATAAATATGATCAATCATGGCTTTGTTATTCTTGAGAAGATTTTTAAAGAATTTTCCTATATATTTCTATGTAAAACTTTGGTTGGCCATTGTGTCCCCGCCCTACCCCTGGGGGTCATGATTTGAACAAACTTGAATCTACACTATCTGAGGATGCTTCCATACAAATATGATCAAATATGGCTTCGTTATTCTTGAGAAGAAGATTTTTAAAGAATTTTCCTATATATTTCTATGTAAAACTTTGGTCGGCCATTGTGGCCCCGCCCTACCCCTGGGGGTCATGATTTGAACAAACTTGAAATAACACTACCTGAGGATGCTTCCATATAAATATGATCAATCATGGCTTTGTTATTCTTGAGAAGAAGATTATTAAAGAATTTTCCTATATATTTCTATGTAAAACTTTGGTCGGCCATTGTGGCCCCGCCCTACCCCTGGGGGTCATGATTTGAACAAACTTGAATCTACACTACCTGAGGATGCTTCCATACAAATATGATCAATCATGGCTTTGTTATTCTTGAGTAGAAGAGTTTTAAAGAATTTTCCTATATATTTCTATGTAAAACTTTGGTCGGCCATTGTGGCCCCGCCCTACCCCCGGGGGTCATGATTTGAACAAACTTGAATCAACACTACCTGAGGATGCTTCCATATAAATATGATCAATCATGGCTTTGTTATTCTTGAGAAGATTTTTAAAGAATTTTCCTATATATTTCTATGTAAAACTTTGGTCAGCTTTTGATTCCTTGTCTTGGTCTTTTATACAGAAATCCCTCAAATTTTTTAATTTTAGCAATTCTATTAGAAAATGGGTTGATATTTTTTACACAAATATTACAGCTTCCATTAATCAAGGAGGAAATTTATCGCAATCTTTTAACCTACACAGAGGCTGTCGTCAAGGGGACCCCTTGTCTCCATATCTATTTCTCATTTGTGCAGAGATCCTTGCAATCAGCATTCGAAACAATAAGAATATAAAGGGGATTCGGTTTATGAATACTGAAAAAAAGTTAAGTATGTTGGCAGATGATACATCTTTAATATTAGATGGAAGTGAAAGATCACTCCAAACAAGTCTCACTACTCTTAAAAGATTTGTGAATATGTCAGGCTTGCATATAAATTACAGTAAAACTCAAGTAGTCTGGAATGGGTCCAAAAAAGACAGCATCGATACCCTAAGTACAGATCATATGTTAGAGTGGGGAAAAGTAACTTTTAAACTTTAGGCATTGATTTTGACACAGATCTAAAAAAGATATTTATGCGTAATTATGCATCAAAAATAAGTAATATAAAAAATTAATGCAACACTGGAACAAGAGAAATTTAACTCCTCTTGGTTGTCTAACGGTTCTAAAAACTCTTTTATTGCCAACCTTAAATCATGTTTTTGCATCTCTCCCAAGTCCCTCTGAAATTCAAATGAAAGAATTAGAAAATCTATTTTATACTTTTGTAATGGGTACTAATATTTCAAGATTAAAAAGAAAAATTTGTGTAATGAATTACAAAGAAGGGGGCTTTAAGATGATTAGTATAAGAGAGTTCATTATGTCCTTAAAACTAGTTTGGATGAAAAAATTATTACTGCGGGACAATGGGTTAGACTCCTTTTTAAATATTGACATTAAAAAAATTGTATGTTGTGGGCAAGAGTATGTTGTCAAAAAAATCAATAATTTAAAAAATAATTTTTGGAAGGACGTGTTACATGCATGGCTAAGCTTTTGTGACAAATCATTACAAAATGATACACTTACTTCTTTAGAACCATTATTCCATAATAAAAAATTAATCATTAATAAAAAGCCATTCTTCTATAAAAAATGGTTCTCTTGTAACATTTTATGTATAAATGACATACTCAATGAAGATGGGACATTTATGAGTTTGAATGATCTACATATGAAATACGGGATAAAAACACATTTCCTTGAATATAGTGGCATTAAGGCAGCTATATTAGAATGGCTAAGAAAGATTAACAGAGATCAAAATAACTTATCAAAGATAGCTTACCCATATATCCCAGATAATGTTTATTCGCTCCTGAATGCAAAGAAATCACATGATTTATATGAAATACTTATTCGACAAAAAATTGAACCATTGGGAAAAATCTCTTGGAATAGAATATTTGACTTGAGCAATGATGAATGGGAGATAATTTATTTACTTCCATTCAAAATTACAAAAAGCACCAAACTTCAGTGGTTCCAATTTAGAATAAACCATAAAATACTAGCGACAAATTCCTTCCTACACAAAATTAATAAAACTGATGATAAAAAATGTACCTTCTGTAAAAAAGAAACTGAAACAATAGAACATTTGTTGTGGGAATGTGAACATGTTCAGTCTCTTTTAGAGAATTTTGCAAACTACTGTTTCAATAAAATCCACACTTCTATAACCTTTTCAAAAAAAGATTTTTTATTGGGCTCTGTGAAGAAAACTGATAAACTTTAAAATATTATTGCCTTACAAATAAAACATTATATCTATCTGTACAAATGTACAAACAAAAACATCTCCTTAGGTGGTTTGATATCCTCTATTAAGACAATTATGATTTACAAATATATATCTTATAAAAATAATGAAAAAGAATCTTTTGATGAAAGCTGGAGACCATTAACTGATTTATTTTCTTAATCATATCTCTCTCTCTCTCTGTCTGTCCTCTTACTCTCTCTTTGTCCTTCTCTGTCTCTCTCTATCCCCTCTTTCTCTCTCTCTCTCTCTCAATGTTTGTCTTTTTGTAAAAAATGTTTTTCAAAAATACAATAAATTATAAAAAAAAAAAAAAAAAAAAAAAAAAATTTGGTCGGCCATTGTGGCCCTGCCCTACCCCTGCGGGTCATGATTTGAACAAACATTAATCGACACTACCTGAGGATGCTTCCATAAAAATATGATCAATTATGGCTTTGTTATTCTTGAGAAGAAGATTTTTAAAGAATTTTTCTATATATTTCTATGTTAAACTTTGGTTGGCCATTGTGGCCCTGCCCTACCCCCAGGGGTCATGATTTGAACAAATTTGAATCTACACTACCTGAGGATGTTTCCCCATAAGTTTCATCTTTCCTGGCACAGTGGTTCTTGAGAAGATTTTTAAAACATACCACCAAATGTTCATTAATTCCCAATTATCTCCCCTTGAATAAGGGCGTGGCCCTTCATTTGAACAAACTTGAATCCCCTTTACCCAAGGATGCTTTGTGGCAAGTTTGGTTGAAATTGGCCCAGTGGTTCTTGAGAAGTTGAAAATGTGAAAAGTTCACAGACAAACAGACAGACGGACAGCTAGACAGACGGACGCCAGACAAAATGTGATCAGAAAAGCTCACTTGAGCTTTCGGCTCAGGTGAGCTAAAAACTATTTGATTTATTCCAGTTCATCCTATCAATCCTGCAACTCAATTATGTTTGTTTGTATGTATGTTGTATTTCATGTACATGTCTACATATACGACTGTTTTACAAATTAAATGTACCTTTTCTTTGTCCCATGACGGCCCATAATTGGTCATATAAATTAATTGTTTATTCACAACACAGTAAATTCGGATTACTCACAAATGACTTTATGTCTGGTGTGTCTGACTGTGTACACATCAATGTCTGCTCTAGGATATCCTTCTGTGTCTATCAGAGGCTCATTCATTCCAATCCCCTTTTGCTTCAAATGAAAAATAAAATTAAGAACGTACTTGTCAATATTTGGAAATCTCACTTCAAAATTTATCGCCATGAGATGCAATTTTCATGTGATTTTCGACAAATATAACCTCCTAGCCTAATGAAATTTTAAATACCCCAACATTTTTCACATACCGAATCTAAAACCTCTAGAAGAGCTTTTATTTCTGCTTCAATTTCGTCTTTTCTCTTCATCAATTTTTTCACGTCATCCATGGAGGCTGCCATCTTGAAAAAAATTTCCCGCAGAACACACCCGAGCAAAATTGTCGTTTTCCAATTAGTTCGTGCAAGGAGTGGGTTTGTGTGGCGTTGAGTTAGGGGAGAGTATGAAAGGGAGTATCTATCTTTTATTAGGGATATTCACGAGATCTCGTCGATAATTTTAAACATAAGGCCCATGGGCCACATGACTCACCTGATGAGTACTTTGACATGGAAATTATAGCAGTTCAATACATGTACTGAAAAGTGGTCTGGATGAGACGATTTAAAAAACTTGAATCAACACTAGATCTACCTGTTGATGAATTTGTTTTGAACGGAGTAGTATCAAATAAGTCAGTCAATCTTCAATCAAACGCATGTTTCAATTGCTAAAAATGTTATTTTAAATACATGTACCTTACATAGAATTTACATCGACTTTATACCTTTTTTCGATCAACTTATTTGCCTATGTTCTTCCTGTTCGAGCGTATGAAACACAATGTACTCTTTCCTTTCAAATTAACCATGCAGGCTATGAAAGTATAATAGTTAGAAAGTTGATGATAAGAAATTAACGTTAATCGTTCAGTTTAGTTGCAACTTACATACACATTTTCATATTTGAGGCATCACCTCCGCAGAGACCCTCATCATATACCTCACCAGGGATGCCAGGGGCTCCCTGGATCGGTAACAAAATTTATACATGTATAATAAGTAAATCAAGAGTAATTTTGTTAAGTAAATATATCAAGCATAAACTTATATAATATAGTGTATGTTTTTAGTAAAAAGTAGCTCTATTATAATATAGTTGGTAACAATGACATCATGATTATACAATTCAATAGACGATAATTAGCTGCTTCAAAAACATGCAGCAGAGACATCATGTTAATAAAACCCAATATAAGGTTATAGTAGAATATACATAAATTTTACAAACAGAATAGTTGACAGTAATATCATGCGGCAGGACTTCCATTTACAGTTCACCTTCACAGTCCATTTTGTCCTGCCACATGGATGTACATGCAGAGGGCCAGCTCACCCTCTAGTACATATATAATTGATACATTTAATATACATATTATTATAAGTTTTGTGACAACAGTTCGAGAATTTTAAAATCTGAATTTATACATGTTGTCTTTTTAATAGTAAAATACAATTGCATCAGCGCGCTTTTTAAAAAGCGACACACTCCTTCATATGTAACCTGGTCTTTAACAATTCTACATTTCATTTTATATTTGTAAATCTTGCACGCCAAGAATGACAATGTATTATCTAAAATAAAAGTGTATTTATTGTTGAAAATAATAAAGCCTATAACAATCATTTTCCATGTTATATCTATCTTTATTAGTTGAGAAATTTTACTCCAGATTGGCTTTATCAAGTCACATTCGAAAATCAAATGTTTGATATTTTCTTGTGTATCGCAGAAATCACAGTTGCCACTGTTGTTTTTATCCCACTTACTAACGGATAGATTTGTAGTCAACAGATTATGTAGTAGCTTATAACTAAATTCTGATACAGATTTATCAAGTAATGAGCGAACTTTATTTTTATAAATAGTATCGAAATGACTCTTATCTATTTGAAATTCTCTACACCAGATATTTTCCATGATTGGCTTGTGCGATTTCTTTTTTATTAAAATGTTGTAGAAAAAACAAGCTTTTTTATTAGAAATATCTTCAAATTTTCCGTCAAAATAGAATTGTTGATTAGCGTTTGTGTTTACGAAGTTTATAGTTTGCATGTTTATGCGTGAATAATGTTTCTTTAAGGCGGTCTTTACCATTAGATATTCGCAAAGGAAATTATTAGTGGATGCTAATTTTTCTTTAATTTCATTTACAGTTTTGAAACCATTGTCATTAAAGAGGTCTTTTACTAACAAAAGACCCCCTTTGGTCCAATTCGGAAAGAATAGTGGTTTACCTTTAAAGCAAATGTTTTTATTAAGCCAAATATTCTGATTTGCAAGATTTGTAAAAGTATTATCCTTACATTCATTAAAAGCCAAGACAACCTCTTTATAAAACTCAGGAAGGGAGTTTAGTATGAGATCATTGTAATTTGTTACACTTGAATTTGTTAAAAATGCAAAATCTATATTATTTTTGTATAAAACAGCATTTACGAGAGAGAGTAGACTGCTTTTATCTTTTGTAATCTTTGTAACCCATGAGGCTTTAATAGCTTTGACTTTAGACTCAAAGTCAGTGATACCGATTCCGCCTTCGTTTATGCTTCTTATTAAGGTTTTGCGTTTTATTCTTTCACGGTTGCCCCAAATGAAGGAGAATATTATTTTGTTTAGACTTTTGATGAAAGATTGCTCTGGATTCTCTAATATGGAAGCAGTGTATAATATTTTTGAAATTAATAGAGAATTTATAATCTGACATTTTCCAAAAATAGTTAATTTTCTGCTTCGCCAAGAGTCAAGTATTTTTTCAAATTCTCTTAATTTGCATAGCCAGTTTTTCTCATTTCTTTCTGCTTCGTCATGCCCGATGTATATGCCGAGGCATTTTATTGTTTTAGAGTTAATTCTGACACCATGTAGAGATGTCTCCCCTTCCATGTCTTCTTTAAGATCTCCCAATAGAATACATTCTGTTTTTGATAAGTTCAACTTTGTGCCGGAAATCGACCCGAAATCTTCAATGATTTTAATTACATGTTTAAGAGATTCTTCATCTTTGACTGGAAAAGTACTATCATCCGCATGCTGTATGCATTTTATTTCCTTTTGCGTATTACATATTTTAAAACCTTGAACATTATCTGATTTATTTACCTTTGTAGATAAGATTTCCATTACGAATAGAAATAATATAGCTGAGACGGGACACCCCTGTCTGATACCTCTATTCATCTGACATTTTCTAGAAATCCAGCCATTATTTTTTATGTGAAAGTAAGGGTTTGTATATAAGACTTTGATCCATCTGACAAAGTTGTCACCGAAGTTAAACTTCTTCATTGATTGAATCAAAAATTCCCACTCAACTGACGTCTTCTCTCGGCGTTTAAAAAAAATTATAAATAAATTAATTAACCCGGATCAGTCTGGGTATATAAAAGGACGATATATAGGTAGTAATGCAAGACTTATTTTAGATATCTTTGAATACTGGGAAAGAAACAATGAATCGGGTATACTGTTATTTGCTGACTTTCAGAAAGCGTTTGACTCAGTTGAGTGGGAATATAAAACGGATATGACAGATCGTGTCTTCAGTTTTTAAAAGTCCAGTGGGATATCCTGACCTATTTTTAAACATTTCACTTTTGCAGGAGAAGAAACACATCTAAATCCCCTACTGTAGCCCCATCCTGGAACAAACTTGGATCTACACTATATCGTAGATGGTTCCATCTTAATATGACTTATTATGACCTTTCTGTTCATAAGAAGAAGAATGAAATATGGAGATGAAAGTTATCAAACTCTAAACTTCATTTGAAACAATACAAATTGGAATCAGACCAAAGCATCAGAGCTACAGGATCAGTTGTCAGGGAGGAGTTTTCATTCCATGTCGACCAATCACACCCCCGTTCTCCTTGTCATGATAGGGCAAACTATCAAAAATGAATTAAGGTTCCAAATTTCCAAAGTTCCTAGTAATTTTAATTATCTACATCTGATAATACCAATTCTCGAAAATATTGTAATGTTGTACAGTAGTCATTAAGTTTTTTTTCTTAAGTTTCCTCTTTTGCTGTTAATGCAGTTGTGCAGAGTTAATAAAAAGGCTCGGTAGAACATTTATTGGAAACTACTATACGTACATATATCTGTATACTTTTAATTCCCTTTCTAAGGAAGAAAATCTTCAATATCATATGTCAGTTTTGAATATTTTTAATATCCCAAAGAACCAAAATGAATTTGAACTACCATATACATTCACTGAAAGAAAAACCTAGTGAATTTAACTAGTGTGCCTCGTAAAGCGTTGGTCGTGATTAGTAAACTTTCATTTTACTGGTTAAGATAGTGAGTTGTGGAGCGGGGGTCGTATAGATACTTAGATACTTAGTGAAAGTTACTTATCAATTCTACTAATTTACTAATCTTATCTAGTAAATATACCAATATCTGGTAAAACTACTTTTCAGGTAGTGATTGTATGGACAGTAAATTTACTAGTTTTCTTCGTGACTTTAACTAGTTATTTTTTTTACAGTGTTGAATTCCGAAACTACATAAGAATACTTACAAAGAAAGATACACTGCGGATTCTAGTAAATGTTCAACCAAGCCTCTTTCTTTACTTCTCACTAAGATATTAACAGTAGTGAAGGAGAAACTTCAAGAGTACTGTGCAACAGTATATTCAAAAAGAGGTGATAATCAGATGTGGATACTTAAAAGTTCCAAGGAACTTTTGGGCAATTTCAAATTACAAGAACAGCTTAAAAACTCACGACTTTTCAACTTTATACACAACCATTCCCCATGATAAAATAAAGTCCAGGCTTTTTGATATCATTGACAGCTGCTTTTTCAATAAAAATGGAACTCGTAAATTTAATTACCTTGTAATTGGTCATTTGCAAAATTATTTTGTTAAAAAACATTCTGATTGTACACATGAGTATACTCTGAAGTTGATATCAAAAAGATGCTTGAGTTTCTGATTGACAATGTTTATGTGGATTTTGGAGACCAGGTCCTCCAACAATCTATTGGAACTCCCATGGGTACCAATTGCGCCCCGTTATTAGCAGACCTATTTCTGTATTCATATGAAGCAGAATTTGTGCAAAATCTTAATGAAAAGAAGAAAACACTTGATGCATGTGGCCTTCAACTCGACATTTAGATATATCGACGACGTATTGTCAATTAATAATGGTAATTTCCATTCTTATGTCGATACGATAAATACCGGTGAGCTTGAGATAAAAGATACCACAGAGTCTGACACATCTGTTTCATATTTGGATATTTTATTTGAAAAAGACGTTAATGTTATAACCATTAACCTCAAACAACCAAGCTCTATGATAAACGTGATGACTTTAACATTTTTATTGTCAAGTTCCCTTACTTATGCAGCAATATACTAATAGTGCCTTCATCACCTGCATACGGAGTTTATAAATGTATATCTCAGTTGATTCGATACGCAAGAGCATGCACTACGTTTGAACAATTTATAAAGCGAGGTAAATTATTGACAAACAAGTTGATGAAACAAGAATATCAGAAGTCTCGTTTAAAGCGATCATTTCGTAAGTTCTATGGTCGATACAATGGCCTTGTCAGCAAATACGATTTATCATCGAGTCAAATGCTGACTGACGTTTTTTCATATTTATTGTTAGTCCATTATTTTTACAACGAATTGACGACGGTTTTTCCCGTGCACGGCGGATGTGACCGGTCGGAAAGGATGCTAACTTCCCCTTGGCAACTTAACCCATGTCTGATGTTTTAGATGTCCGCGTTTGCTCTGTTCCTATTTGTATTGTTTTATGGACTTTTGATCTTGAATACTGTTCGTTATCTCCATATGTTTCATTCTAAGGATTTTTTGTAGTTAAGGAATTTTTTTCGTATACAGTATTTCTATGTAAAATTTTGACATTACTTCGATAAATTTAAACCTACTTTATTTGAAAATGTTTTGTATATCAAAATGAATATTGTACTGCTGTTTTAAGATCTTTTTAGGTTTTTCCCCCATGTATAAGTTTGATACCCTATTGAGATCTGACCTGTCCCGGGACAGTCTTTAACCAACTGAAATGTATGCTATTTTTTCTTAAAAAAACCTTTCTTTATACATGTAAGAAGAATTTAAAATAATTTGTAAAAAGATGCCAGTCGGACAAATTCTTAGCAATCTTTGCTTAAGAGAGGACGTGGCTCTTCGTCTGAAGAAATTAAAATCTCTTTTATTCACGGATGCTTTTTTGTAAGTTTTGATGATGCTCAGACCCGGTACAGTTTTGAAAGAGAAGTAAAAAAGTTTAAAGGCGGACATGTATACAGATGTCAGACAAATTGCGATTAAAAACACTCACTTGAGACTTGGTTCATTTGAGTTGAAACCCCATAATTTTGCTAAAGTATAGTATAATCTATACAGTCAGCTATATTTTCTATGAATTCAATACATCTTACCTAGTAATGTTTGACTGCGTATTTGTTTTTCATAATTGTTAATAAATATATAAAATTCGTACACTGAAAGAAAAACCTAGTGAATTTAACTAGTGTGTTTCGTAAAGCATTGGTCGTGATTAGTAAACTTTCAGTTTACTGGTTAAGATAGTGAGTTGTGGAGCGGAGGTCGTATAGATACTTAGATACCTAGTGAAAGTTACTCATCAATTCTAAATTTATACATGTACTAATCTTATCTAGTAAATATACCAATATCTGGTAAAACTACTATTAAAATAGTGATTGTATGGACAGTGAATCTACTAGTTTTCTTCGTGACATTAACTAGTTATTTTTTATCAGTGTACATTAATTCAAATTAAATTTTCTTGACAAAATCTACGAAAACGGTTTCCATTTTTATTGAATAAAACTAATAATGTCGACTGCAGACAGTGCACACAATGTACTAGTATATACAATGTCTAATGATATACTGATCCATTTGGACATACTAGTTTTTTCGCGAGTTGTGGTTTTTGTTTTATATAAATATTGATAATACAAATATACGCGAGAATAAAATTTTCGCGAGCAGACAGACTCGCGTAATTACGCGAAAATAGAGTTCTCGCGAATAAAAAGTGATTTACAGTATATACAATGTCTAATGTCAGACTGATTCATTTGGACATACTAGTTTTTTGAGTAATTTCTCAAAATTATCCTAACCCATCGACTGACTTTATCAAATTGTTGCCTGTTCTTATTTTGACATGTTTGACCTTGGTGACCTTGCATAATGATGTCGGTTTCACGTAGACTGACCAATATTCTAATCATAGAAACCCGTAATCTGTAAACCATTCCATGGGACATGCTGTAGGACTTAAGATTTGGCCAAGGTTGTTGTCAGATATATAAGGGCACGCTGACATTTCCATCAGCAATTTGAAAGCTCAAGTTCCAAGGTTTGAAAGAAAACATGAAGACCTTGTTTGTGATCACCATCTGCTCTCTTGCAGGTATGTACATTAATAGTTAAACATGAACCAATTAACACGCTAATACTAATAACAAAACCATGTTTATACCAAAAACTACTTTTCTGTCATGAATTTTAAAGACATTTGAATTTGAAAAAAAAAACGAATCAAAATATTCTTTCCACCTTTTATTAAATAACTTTATTATGTAGACGCCGATTGCTGGTTTCAGCTGGTTCTAATAAAATAAAATATACATATATTCCTGAAGGTCGATATAATGACTATGTTTGAAAATAAAGCTGTATGTTGATTGTCGTGTTTCATACAAACTTAGGCCATTTTTTAAATCCCTAATCAGACTATTCCGTCTACCTGACAAAATACCTAGGGCTTATGGCGGGTGTAACCTGTCAAATGAATTGAATATATTTTATTGACAAATTCAAAAGGATTAGAAAGGATTACCTGTCAAATGGGATGCTTACTCCTTCTCTGCATCTGATCCCTGCTGTTAAATTTTAATGGATTTGTGTTTTACACAATTTTTACAAAATGAAATTCTTCAAAACATTTTCGAATACTATAATTTAAGAAGGTTCCAATACTGTCGTTATCTTCACATTTTTTCTCAATGAACAATGATACATGTATAAAGCACAGGAGTCATGCCAATCTGATTCTAGTTAAGGCAAAAAGGCTGACCACTTAATTAAATTGTTACGATTTTTCAGAACAGGAAATGTCCTGATTCAAATATATATTTATATATTGGAACCAAAGAAACATTCGTGTTAATTTGTGAAAGGTACTTTATACGGGGCATATTAGAATGTTCCGATGACAGACTATTTCTCAGCATAAGTATGTCTTAATTGTAAAAGAGATGGCTTGTTGAATCTTTGAAAAAGCAAAGAAACCATATATAAGATTGCATACATTGTATGTAAAATTACCATCTTTCTCTTGATTATATAATTATAGCACTGGTAATGTCCGAGATGTGCCAACATAACGATGATTGTTCACATGTTATCTGTGATAGCGGATATGACGTCATGTGTCAGGCCGGCCAGTGCACGTGCAACCCGTCACATGGTGGTGGAGGTCACGGACATGGATGTGAGTACATTTTTTTTAAAGAACATGTTATAACGTACATAAATTTATCTCAGATTTAATGTATAAGTAAAAGGGAATTGTTTGCTCTAAAAACAATCCAATTTAAATGATAAAATGCTTTCTTTCGTTGTTAGTACGGGATTATGTAATTTTTTTTTGCAATTGCTGCGACTTTAATTCCCGTACGAACAACAAAAGAAAGCATTTTATTGTTTATATCTATATCTGTATTAAAAATCATTCAAAGTAAAATAAAATTTGTTAACTATTGATTTTAAGATGAATATGTCATCGTATGTAAAAATGATGGAACAGCCATTGTTCAAGTGCCTGTCAATTTTTACATGTATATAACACGTTAGGCATATTCTTGAGAGTCTAGCGTAATTCTGAAAGACCGAATCTTTTTTAAAAGATTAATATTGTTAACACATACTCATCCTCTTGTTTTATAACGTTTCAAGCTTCCAAGCCACACTGATCTGTTCTCTAATGAATATTAATGAAATGTGCGCAATGAGGATGCGTCGTATATTATGTTGATGTTGTATTCTCACTTGTGCAGTTTTCGTTTTTACGTTTGTGTAATTTTCTCGTTATATCGTGTAAATATTTTGTTGATTGTGTAGTTTTTGTATAATTTGTGTAAATTTCAATAACTTTGTGTGTATTTTCCGCGCTTTGTGTAAGTTTTGACTAACTCGTGTAATTTTTGTTTAAAAGTCGTGCAGAAAATACTTTTGAACCAATCGGCGTGCCATAACAGAACGTTTAGGTAGAAATCTGACGAAATTCACCGTAGTCCTGCATACCTGAACAATAAAATGAAAGTCGTCCGTCTCGTCAAAAGTAAAACTTCCTAAAGGTCCAATTGTTTGTTTAAATTAGAGAGGAGTTTCACAAAATTTTTCAAATATTCCTAATCACAGTTCTAGGACATATATTTTATGTCTAGCAATTAAATAATATGCAAAATTATGGTATATACTGTATGTTAATTATAGTACTGCATTATATATAAAGACTTGGTGTACTTGACCTCTGTTGACCTTTTCAGCATGCGTAACCCAGGCCGACTGTTCAACACAGCACGCACATTGCTCCTCAGGGTGGCATTGTGTGGATGGACGCTGCATGTGCAGACATCACTAAAAGATATCATAGTCAGCAAATAGGTAATGATTTAAGCATTAAATTCTTATTTTGGATGTCATTGGTCCTATAACAGCACATGACCGTGTCGATAAATTGATTACCGCGCGTTATTACATGTAGGTGCATTTTATTCGCACGTTATTCTCTAATATTATTAATTTCGTTCATCTCATAATATTCCAAATGATTTCATAAAGAAAATCATACTAAGGGATATATTATTGTTTAAATTGCTTTTGGACTCTGTTAAACCACTTCTTCTTTTATTTTGCAGGAAAATTTGAAGAGCAAGACGAAGAAAATACAATTATGTAACAAACTAAATAAATAATGACAATTAATAAAAATAATTTACTAATTAATTAAATTAATGAGGAAGAAAGCTTAAAATGCAAATTTTAATGATTTTTTTTATTACATAGAGATGCATGTTTCAGGGACACACGTATAAAGTAGAGCACATCTATGGTATAAATGAGTTTTATACATTTCAAAGGAGAAATCAATGTTGTAAAAGGACGTGTTTGAAAATCGTTTACTTATATGTTTTTCCACACTTTAATTGTACACAATATTAACTGAAAACATAATCTGGCACATCTTTTATTTTATAAAATGGAAATTTATCTTAACTTTCATCATCTGCTAAGGAATGTTAATACAATTTTATCCTACATACCGCAAACTGTGATGACATTTTGTATAATTACTCTGGCTTCGTAGCTATTCCTGCGATGTTAATAGTTCTCTTGCTTTACTTAGTCACCCAAGAGCTTCATTGGCCTGTATGGGAGGAATATTAATTTCACACAATCTATTGATATATCATACTTATTCAAATGCGTGTGCTTGTCGCAAAGTCATGGAGGTGGACTATTGGTAGTAATATACAAAAGCCATGTAACTAAAGCTGCCTTAAGATTTGCAGACCTTTATTTCTCTTTTGGGTTGAGCAATATCAAGGGCAAACGCGTCCCGATTCTAAATCATTTAATGTTAACAAAAAATCGTATTTAAAGACATGACTGATTCTCTAGTTGACAAACTTAGTATTACATGACATGATTTATTAATTTTGTTTTACAAGGAAATGGTAAGGATTATATTTTTATATACTAGTAAACAACAAATATAGTGGACCAAAGCTCAGTTCATCTGATCATAATCATATCACTCATAGCTATAATTGACACAAGTACATAATTTATTATCCATATAGATCAATCAGATTGAACAATAGCAGCTTATTAATTGATAAAAGAATTGTAGGATTTGGTAGTGATTAGTAAAAATATTCAAGGTAAATTTCGAAATGTCCAATGATACATTTCATCTGAATATGCCAGATATGAAATGAATACTCGATTTCAGAACACTGGAACTATATCTTGGCAGATAAAAGAACATTTCATAATAATAAAAACAAAGAGACCTAATTTTGTATTCATATAAAGCAGAATTTCTTTAAAATCTTAAACATGAAAAGAAGAAAACACTTGCTGTGTCCTTCAAGTCGACATTTAGATATATCGACGACGTATTGTCAATTATATAACAATGGTAATTTCCATTCTTGAATGTCGACACGATATATCCTGTTGAGCTTAAAATAAAAAAAAACCTCCACAGAGACTGGCTGGCACATCTATGTCATATTTGGATATTTTACTAGAAAAAGACGCAAAGGTAATCTTACAACAAAGCTTTATGATAAACGTGATGACTTGAACTTATCAACCGCTTCCCTCACTTCCCTCACTTATGTAGCAATGTACCAATTTCACCTGCATATAGTCCTTCTAGCTCTTAGTTAAACAGAACAATGACATATTTCATCTCTATGAAAGTGTTTTATTTGGTTTATAAAAGTTTAGCAAAAACTAGCTGCGATGAGCTTGCCTAGCATTAGAAGACATAAATAGCTTTTATTTATTATACATCTGTCTGTATCATAAATTTATTATTTTCTATGAATGTGCAAAAACAAAATCAGTTTCCTATTATATTATCACCAAATTCATGGAGCTAAAATATGATGTAGGGAGGTCCGTGGAACAGCCCAGCTATTCTTTATCAGCTTCTTTATGCAATTTACACAGTGTTTGGACTGCAAAAGACGACACATCGATGAGTCTAAATAAGTATAATATATTTGTTACATATTTCTGATCTGATATTTTTTTGATGACATTCCTGATTTATTGGAGAACAATTTCCGCGGAATTTCTTTGATCTCAGCAATAATCGTGGTAGAATAACTAACAAGTTGTTGAAACAAGAATACCAGCAGTCTCGTGAAAAGCCACCACTTAGTAAGTTCTATGGTCTAAATAATGACCTTGTCAGCAAATACGATTTATCATTGAGTCAAACGCTGACTGACTTTTTTCATACTAATTGTAAGACCATCATTTACACAGTGAATTGACGACGGATTTTTCCTTTTTTTCCGATCATGACAAGGAGCACACGGCGGGTGTGATCGGTCAGCAGGGGATGCTCACTCCTCCATGGCACCTGATTCCACCTTTGATACTTTTAAGGTTCGTGTTTTTTCTGCGCTCGATCTGTATTGTTTAATGGACTTTGAACTTGAGTATAATGTTCGCATTCATCATATTTCATCTAAGTCTAAACGAATCTCCGTCATGTATAAAATGCCAGGATTGACATGGCATGTTTATAGCAGAATTGACGAAATATTTCGCCAAAGATAATATATTTTTCAAGTTCTCTTATCTCTCAGAACTATACACAGCAAATAAATACATCTGAACTATCTTTGATGATAAATTCAATATGCATCAGTTTCTAAATATCATTGTGACAAAGCTATATAGCTAAATATCACATTGGCTTTACTTACGAGATCACGTTGAACTGAGTGGGATTGGAATACCTTTGGGAAAGTGCTCCTTTTATTGATGAAGGATTGAAGCTACATGACAATACAATTAAGCAAATAAATATGAATTTTTTTAACGACAGATTTTTTTTCGCTTTTTTTTTTATTAATAAACTTTTGCTTAATCCACAAGTCTAATTAAACAGGAAGAAAGGTTATTTGTATAAATAACCAGGAACAAAGTTAATTAAATTCTTAGTTGAAAGTGACAACACATATGAATTTATTATTGCTTTGTGTTTAAAAAGGAAAACATTCGAATAACTTTTATAAAAAAAATATTGTTAAACAGTCCGATAACCTGAGAGAGACTATATATTTCATGTATTCGAAAATTTATTTCAGAACGACTTAGGCTATGCGTGACTTGTCAAAACATAAGGATTTAGGAATAGTAAAATTTCCAGTAATAATGCATGACATATAGGTCATATAAAGTTTAAGCACCTCTTATCACGAGTTTCCCATAAAATTCTTAAGAAGGTTCCAATTAATTTATTTTTTATACCCATACGATATGGATTTTAGTACCTAAAAATATTCATAGTTTAAGAAATAAATAAATTCAGAGTTCATTTTGTTTTTTTTTTACTGAGAAAAAAGGTTTTGGACACTCAAGACAAACGCCCACATGAGCCTGTTTAACCAGTTTTAGTCCTTGTTCTCTGTCCGTCTGTTTGTCTGTGTGTTAACGTTTTCACGTATGGGCCTCTACAGTTCCACTTCGTAATTTTTATCCTAGAATCCTTAATTTAACTTGGTGTTACAAATTAAAACATGATTATTCCCCATGGCAAAGGCGGGGACTGCAACAAGGAACCGAAGAGAAATGCGTTCAACTTGATAATATCTTAAAGATTCTAAGGACCAACAGTACCCTGATTTATCGCATTAATATAAAGAATCCTCGGAGCATGTACTGTGTACAACTAAACAAACTGCTGCGTCTGTTTCATATTTGTTAATGATACTGACTATAGATGCTAAGGACCAGCTAGCAACTAAATTGTATAAGGAACGAGAAGACTTAAGCTTTACTATCTTTAACATTCCTTATTCATGTATGATGATAGTAATTATTGTCCATATCATTACTTATGATTTAAACGTTGCCAAAAGTATTCTAGATCTTCACCCAAGAGCATGCTGTGAGAACGATCAGTTTTAAAACCAGGGCAAGATCCTGACAGATAAGTTGAAGTTTCAGGAATTTCCACAACTTTCTTTATAATCAGTATTTCGTATATATATTTTATGACCATTATTTAATGTCCTTGTTTAACAAAATTGTACATTATCATTTAGTCGTATTTAGTTTACTAATATTTATTTTCCATCAATTGTTTTTTTTTTGCGTAATAAATTTTGTGACCAAAGACAGATTATTTCTGTTTATATTTCACCGAAAAAATTTGACAAGCAAAACTCAAAACTCTTTCCAGGTGTGTGTGTGTGTGAGAGGGAGAGGGTGTGTGTGTGTGTGTGTGAGTGAGGGAGGGTGTGTGTGTTTGTGTGTGTGTGAGGGCGGGTGTGCATGTTTGTGTGTGTGGTGGTGGGGGTGGGGTGGGGGTTCAAGACAAGGAAAGATTTTAAATTTTCTTGTAGTCGAGAATAGATTATTTATTTTGTACATGTGTGACGACAATTTTTTTTTATCCATTTACAAAAGAGTAAATGGATTTCCCTTTCCAATGCATATAAATTTTAATTTCTATTGTAAATATATAACTAGACACTTATTTATGTCTTAAACCTGTAAATATAATCTGTCTATCAAAGTTCTAAATTAAGCTAAAAATTTAAAAGTTTTGTTAAAACAACGATACGGCACATTTTTCAAAAGTCGAATAAGGATCAATGTAACATGAGAGTAACTCTATTTTACATTACTATGAAGATTCATAATTTTTGATGAGGTGGGATCGGATGCCATGGAGGAATGAACATCATCTGCCGACCGGTCACTCCCGCCGTATGCTTCTCGTCATGATCGGAAAATGATTGATTGCATTATTAAAAATACATGACGGAGATTTCTTTTTAGACTTAGATGATATATGGTGATTACGAACAGTATTCAAGATCAAAGTCCATTAAACAATATAGATCGAG